TATTCCCATTAAAGATAAAGCTGTGCTAGACACCCCCAAGCCTTCAAGAATAAGGTCTCTTTAAGCTCCATGCCTCTCAGTTCACCACAACCTAAGCTCGGCTTCATGAACCTACAGAATTGCCAAAGCCAGCATAAAACGCAGGGAGCAACTGGTGATGAGATTTACCACTTACTATCATCCAATAAGCTCAAGTATGAAACTCTCAAAACATTCTTGCTTTAAGAAGAGCTCAACACTCCTTAAAGCAAGGGGGGACAAGGGAAGACTAACGTAAAAATGCACAGCTAAAGATGAATTAGCTGTACCGTAACTGCAGTTTAGAAAGCTGTGAGTCAGCTGTATAACTCAAAACTAAGGAAGTTACATTTTCAAAATGAGCTCATAGTTACAAATTCTCGATCATATTTCAAAATGAAATCCTAAGTCTCTGAAAGTGGATTTGGGGAAGGGTTCTATAGTTCAGAAGTTGAAGTTTCGGCAACGTGAGCAGATTGGGAGCTTGGGAGCTCGACAGAAAAAGTAGCTGAAAAATCTGAAACCTCCGCCGGAGAAGGGGATGGAACCTCGGTAGTTGATATCATTATAGGTCCTGGAGCAGGTAGAGAAAGAGGAATCTCAGGAGTCGTTAAGGCAGGAATCTCGACCTCTGCTGGAGATAAGCTCAGGGCCAGTACCTCGGAGTCGAGGTCGGCTAAGAAGGAAACAACCTCAGGAGCAGGAGGGGAAACACTGTTGAGCTCAGAGTCAGCCACCTTGTCATCAGCGGGGGGATCAAAATTGAAATCTAGTTCAGGGTAGATCTCTTCAGCCCTGTCCTGGAAAGCAAGCCACCTAGAGGCCCTCTGAGTTGTGACATCATCAGATAGTTTGACAATTAAGCAATCTTTTTCCTTGACAGCTGCCCTCGCCACCTTGAGTTCGTTCCGGAGGACGTCACTCGTGTCTCACAATAATGTCATGTTCTCTCTTCATAGTTTGAAAGGAACTTAAAGCTTCAAGAGACTCCCGGCTGGCTCTGAGCCAATCATCTGTTTTCTGCTTAAGTTCCCCTGAGATTTTTCTGAGCTCTTCCTTTGTTTTCTTAAGTTCCTCTTTGCAGCTCTTTCTCTCACGTGCAATCTTCTCCCTCACATCTTCCAGACTCCTATTTAAGGAGGTCTGCTTCTCCACCTGCTCCTGCAAGTCCTGCACCTGGGCCTTGAGGTCACTATTCTTAAAGGACAGTTCGGTAAACTTGAGTTCAAAAGCCTTGGAAGCTTTAACTGAACCTTCCATGGCTTGGATCCTTTTTAGCAGCCCGCTGACATGGAGGGCAATCTGAAAGTGAGAAAAGGTCAGATAAGAAGGAGCAAAATGAACAAAACTTGTATGCACATAAAACATAAAACTTACGGAGGTAGCAGTGAAAAGAGCGCTAGATATAGAGCTCCCAAGAGGCATGGTGGAAGCTTGCTGGATATCAGATTCGAGGAGAATGGAAGCAATGGCCTCTGCAGCTCTTTTCACATTATCAATCAAAGAACTCAAACTTGCTTCTGCATTCCCCCCTTTTTCATGCTTACATATCCCAGGAGCCTTCTGAGGAGGCCCCACAGTTGGGCAAGAAGGGATGGATCTAGGCAAGAGGTGAGAAATCGTCTCCAAAGGTTTCTCGACCTCACCTGAAGAGGGAGGGGTGGAGACCAAGCTTAGGTCAGGGACCTTACTAGGGGAGGGCAATCTCGTCTTCTGAGAAAAGGAGCTCTTTACAACCTCCAGAAAGCTAAAAAAGGACGATTTCAGTCTCGGAGCTTTGATTTCAAAAATTGGATCACCCCTGGGCTGACCTCAACCTTACGTTTGCTTCCAGCCCGAGTCTTCCTCATCATAGATAATTTATCAGAGTGATCATTCGCAGTAGGCTCCATTAAGGAAGAACCTAAAAAATTGAGAAAGAACAGTCAAAAAAAAAAAAGGGGGGGAAAGGAGAAGAGGTAAAAGGTAGGGGCAAAGGTGAAAGGGACAATACCTGCCAATTCTTCAGCACTAATGGCATAAAGAGGAGATAAATTTTCTACCCTCACTTCAGGAGGACTAAACCCAAGCCTTACAAGGACTTGCGGTCAGATAAGCTCTGAATATCTCTTTGATTTACAGTTCGTCAATTTCCTTAGGACCTGTTCTTCTATAGCATTAAGGTCTGGCCGAATGCCTGAGAAATGAAACCAACTAAACAAGGTCAGCCTAAGGGAAAGCTAGAGCCTAAGGGAAAACTAGAACTTATTCCAACTTGCATAAAAAGGAGTTCACCCAAGTTGTTAGGGGCAGACCACCCCCGAGAGACGGAAAGAGTGTCTATCACATCAGCAGGATTGAACTCTCATTCCCTCCCCCATACGAAAAAGAATAATTTTTTTCAACGTTTGTGGGAGCTCGGGAGATCAGAGATAAGAACCTTGATTTTCACTCGTTTAAAGATTTACAAAAGCCATCAGTGAGGAGATATTTGACATTAAAGAATTTCATGAGCAAAGACACAGTGGGGACACCTAGATCATGTTTCTTAAAGAAGACAAGAAGACCAACCAGCACCCCCCAAAAGTTAGGAGAAAACTAGGCAGGGGTAGACATTGAAATGTTGGAAAACATTTTTGATAAAGGGATGCAGGGGAAAACAGAGGTCGTTCTCAAAAGCAGCTAGGAAGAAGCACACATTTTTAGAGATAAAGGAATCGTATAAGGTAAACATATCCGGACTCCAGAACTAGAGGCCTTGAGGAAACCCAAAGCGGGCAGCCAGCACCTTCGTGTAAGAAGGAACGATGTTACTACACCTCACGAGCTCGGAGGCCCTGGGGTAGCAACACCACCCTCAGCACTGCCTGAAATCCCCACGCCACTTACTTTGGTTTTGCCTTTGCTGAGAAATTTCAAGGTAGGAGGAGGCTCCTTAGTGCCTCTCCCGACATTGACAGAATCCACTCTGGGGAAATCATCTATCTCTAACCCCACATCCCTCAGGTCAGAATCTTCCTCAATGAACCCATCTTTCATTAGCGAAATGGACGATCCCATGGCTTCAGAGGAAACATACATAGCTGGACAAGAATAAGGAAGCTTAAAAGATCTATAAAGAGGGGGGACCTCGGAGAAACACTCTTTGAGAGCCCAAGGAGCAAGACACCGAAAACTAAGAGCAAAAATCCTAACTGTAGAGTAAGGGTCCAAGAAGAGAGGAAGATGGGACAAGGGAATACTTCGGCTCCTAGAGTAGCAAAATCAAAAGGCCCAAAAATGTCAAAACCACTTCAGACTTGAGGGATCCAGGGCAAGGAGCGGGGAAAGAAAGGAAAAACGTACCTAACCGCGAATTGGTGACGGATTAAAGCTCGAGGAAGGGATTTGAAACCAAATCATACTAAGCCTCCAAGTTAAAATTGGGGAAACCGTCCCTCAGAGAAAACCCTAAAACCAGCGGCAGAATGGGGAAGATGAAGTCGTGAAAAGATAAGGAAGTCGAAAAAGATTTGTAAAATGAGGAGCAAATCGGTGATCCAGGGGTATTTAAAGCTAACGGTACTGTGGGCCTCGAAACGGGTAACGTGCGCAAGGAACGAGGAAGAAAATGATTACTGACAACCGCTTTAAAAATAAAAAATAATAATAAATATATATTCCTGCATAAATTTTGAAGTCTCTGATTGAGAAGTCATTGCTGTTACATCCTAAGTTCAGCCCTTGCCCAAGTCAGGTCGGCCAAGAGCTAGGGGGCAACTGATGATACTCAGAATGATTCCCAAGCAGGAGCTCGTGAACGGAGGTCAAACATGGAGGTCAGGTATGCTAAGCTCAAAAATTCAGAGCTATGCAGAGCTCAGAAATCTAAAGCTAGAGCTCCCCTCAAGCAAGATAATAAATTGAAGCAATGAGGAAGCAACTGGATACTACAAAGAACTCGATAGGCGGTTTGAAGTAACACTCACGACACAAAATCCTTAACCAACCAAGAAAGATACTCTCTTAAGATCAAGGAGAATTCCTCGGATAGATGACGAAGATCACGGATCAGATCCCATAGATTAAGGGATACCCCTATAAATACTATGTAACACCCCCAATAGAGGGGCAGAACCCTAGTATCACATCTTACATTCTGTAAACCTTTTGGTATAGTAAATAGTGAAGGAAGGAACAAGAATCTTCATTGAAGAGTGGATTAGCCGAACTCCTGAACTGGTGAACCACTATATTTCTACTGTGTTAATTTTCCAATTTCCCAACAATTCTCAGTATCATTCCCTCGAGTCTAGTAGCTCAGATCCCAATAATTTCAATATTATTTTTTCATTTACTTATCATCACAAAATTGCATCACGTTGAAATACACCATCAATTTTAATTTGAAAAAATAGTTTGGTTATTATAAACAATCCAATTTGGTCAGTTGATTTGGTGAGATTGTCAAGCATATGAAAATAGTAGAAAATATTTTTTTTTATTTAAATCTGGTCAAGAAAGTGGGAGTAATGGTTTTTTAATTAGTTGAAGCGTATTTAGACATTTTAAATCATCACCATAAAAATCGGGACAACTCGTTTAAATTTGGTCATAAAAAATTATTAATAGTTAGTCACAAATTTACTTGCTTTGGATATGTTGGAATGATATTCTTTTTATTAGTTTAGAAATACTTAGACTTTTTAGAACACAATTAAAATTGTTCGGCTAAGATAAATTATCTAGGACAGGCTGGGTTGGGGATCCGTTGGTCAAAGGAAAGGGAAAGTCTTGATTTCGATACGGAGCCAAGAAAAATTACAGAATTATACCCCTAAAAAATTGGTATTTGATTTTGATCACATACATTGAACATGACTTTGAAAGTGAAAATACCAATTTGGTAGTAACAACATTGAACATGGACACGGAGGTGTTGGGTCCCACCAAGAACAGGGAGGTATGATTGGATACAACACACACATCCCCGCATAAAAATGGTGAGGGTCCCCACAAACTCGTCTTTCATTTCGATACCTCGTAATTTCGCTTTCATTTTCTCTCTCTGCCTCTTCTAAATTTTCACAGAACCGGAACGTCGCTGAAACTCAAACAACGGTGATCTGGCATCGAAGAGACAACAGTATTTCGATTTTCGAGTCTCTCTGTGCTTCGAACTCAGCTATGGCTCCTTCTCTCAACGACAAATCAGAAAAAGTCGCAGAGGAGTCCATGGCTTCCCAACTTCAAAACCGCCCCATCTCCACCATCGTCATCATCATCGGTCTTTCTCTCTCCCTCTCTCTCTCTCTATGCACGCACATATATATATATATATTTATTTATTTATTGATATTTCGGTTTTGAATGGGCAGCTATGCAGACTGAAGCGCTTCCTCTGGTGAACAAGTTCCAGCTTTCTGAGGATCCCGATTCTGTGTCGGTTATTTTATTCTTTTCTACTTCTGAATGTTTGCTTTCCTAATTTATCTCTCCCTGATTTGTAACTAGGGTTGAAAAATAGTTACTTCAGTTTTTAGCTGTTAATTTTTACTAGTATTTTGACTGATGTCTTTTTGAATAGTGGATATTCCCTAGAATTGCAGTTTCTTTCATTCCTAAAGCTTTTCAAACCAAATCACGTGCGTTGTTTACATTCAACAGTATATGCATGGGCAGATGTCATTTAGGATGACTGTGTGCTATTTTTTCTTTCTTTTTTTTTTTCAAAAAAATAAATTTATTGTCAATGTTATTGTGACCAGTAACCAGTGTCATTGATGAGTGTGCATTCGATGCTCTGTATTGAATTACTTGGATGACCTTTACCTGTTTGAGTTGCTTCAGGCGATTCTTTGAATGGGGTCAATTGTCTTATTTTAGGACCTCATTGGACAAATTTTATCGGCAGACGCAAAGCAAGATATAATGACAAAGATTAACAAAAGAGAATACTTTGATTATCTGAACAGTGATTTCAGTTACAACTTACAAGACACGAGTAAATCAGCCTTAACTGCAGCACTAATTTATAGCCTAAACTAAACACTACTCCTAAAAAGTTCAAGTTGTGGGTCTTTGTCAGGTTTGATCGTCCCCCATCCCCTCTATTTATAGGCACGTTCTATTGACGGATATGTTCGTCTCTGACAGTTCCTATCTTCATCACTTCCTCCCTGCATAACTGTTTTTTTTGAGTTTAGAAATTATCCCAGCCGGTTTTGATCCCTTCGTTGATGACTGATATCACTTGAATTCAAAAGTAACTAACCATTTCTCTTAAAATAACTTTCATAACGTAACTGCCATCTTTTGAATTGGAAAAGCCCTGTCAATTGGCTCACCTTTCCAGCGTTAATCGAGTATCTGCCACATGGATTTTTTTTTTTTATGTGGTTCAATTTATGACAGGTGTTAGTCACTGTTCATTCATGGAATTGTAAAATGGTTCAAACAGTACCGTAGAGAAGAGGGACTTCTGTTGCATTAAGTAGTAGCAACCAACTTGTGATATGATGTTATTTATGAAAGTGAATTCTGATAAATTGGAGGGGCCATTGCTTGGTGACATGGAAAAGGTTGTTGGGCTTCCGGTTGTGACAACATGAACTTGAATTTTTGAGGAACCACTTTGGGCAGGAAGATAATGCCAAAGTTAGTTATCTCTCCAGTCTACCCTTCCCAGCAACCAACAATGGTGGCACCTACACTAGGGAATGGCCTTATTCTGAAAACCAGTACTTGGTTTTAGGTTGTGTAAAAGTACATCCAATCTATGGTTTTTGTCCTAGACATGGTACAATGGTCAGACAAGTCAAGTAGCAAGCCCTCAATATATGGGAGAGGGTTCCTTGCTTGACTTAATAGAAATTTACATGAAGCAACTGTCAAGTTTGTTTTCTTACTCACTCAATGATGGAGTTTTGACTGATGGTTGAGTTCGGAAACTAGCTTACAAGTTATTCGTGCTTTGTATACAATTCTACATATGAGCTAATTTACAATCTCCTTTTTCTGCTGTCCTAGAACCACAAAGTAGATTCTACCAGCACAGCAATAGCAACTTTTCAAGGTTATAAATGATTATGTCTAGAAGTTTGTTGTGTTGTTCTCGGTGGTTTTTTTTTTATTTCTATTGAGAAGGGAAATCTTTGGGAATAGTTTTTTTGGTACTTTCGCTTTTAAATTTCAATTTCCTTCACTCTAATGGTGGGTTCTATATTTCTCAGATGTTTGCGTTTGATCCCTCAATACAAATTGTGCAGGTTTCCAAAAGGGGTACCTTGGGTCCGATATCATGGTATTTACAGAAATTTGAATATTAATATTATCTGGCCTGGACAAGACACAGTTTTGGGTGAGTGTTTGACTGCAATTTGTGTTTTTTTCCCCTTTCCTTGATTAGTTTAAGATCATTGATTTCATCCTTTTGTGTGTGGAGTATTTTGCTTCTAATATCACCAAGGAGCTCTTATACATCACTTCTTTAACTCATTTGAGCAATTTGTTTTTTAAACATGATATTGACTTTCTTATTGATCATGTATTAGTGATCGTGAAAAGAATGATGTATGTTGCACAAATGAGTGGGGGTGTGATGATGCGATGCATCTTTAGCTAGCACGCATCAATGTGTCATATAATCCAGTCAACCAAACACCCTTTCTCCTCGCTCTGTCATTTTTTTAATATTCAATTTTTTTAAGCGGCCATTAAAATTTCTGCTGATTACGGTTCTTTAGCTTGCATTTTGTGTGACCATCTTGTCAAATGTGTCTTTTAACTAATTCATCTGTTTCTCAATGTTCTGTAATCTGTACTAGAATAGAAGTCATTTATGGGTGTTCTTTTGAATTTTGTTTAGAATTAATTATTCAAATGCCATATCTCCCTTTAGTCTTCTCCACCTACCCCATGTCTCCTTTGTGGTTTCACCTCTCTTGCCGATCAATGGATTTCTTGGAAGATATAGCTTCCAACTAAAAATATATTGTGTGCATATCAAGTTTTTTTCTGAAAACCCCAATTGTGATGAAACATGGAAGTTTTTAAAAACAATAAATGAAGTTGAGAATGAAACTTAGTTTTGATCTATTTATAAAGAAGTTGAAAATGTTGTATGGTTAGATGGAGTTGTTCCCTTTGAAACTTTGGGCCACAACTTCGTTCATTGGATGTCGGTGCCTAATGCACTGGAAGTGTAAATGTGTGGTTACTAAAATTTCAAGTATTGGACCATGTTGTTATTGTCTCCTGGATTCCCTTTTACTCGGTCCTTGAACCGTTTCTTTTCAGGGGTTGATTGTGTAGGCACGGTTTCTGCATCTCTTGTGACCTATGCTGCCATTCAAGCATTACAGCCAGACCTTATCATAAATGCTGGCACTGCAGGTGGTTTTAAGGTTGATCTTGTGCCCATGATTCTTTTTAACAATTTTTGTTTTTCTGTTTGCAGAATGTGGAATTGTTTTAATACTTTCCCATTTTGTTTGATTGCTGATAGTGTTTATCCTGCTGTTATATTGATTCCAGGGCATAGCCCTATGTATTTTATTTGATTTCCAATAGTGTACAGATATGTATTTTAATTTTTGTGAAATATAATAGGTCACAAATAATGTTGTGCTCATCATTTTTCCTTCTTTATTTATTTCTTTCTTTTTTTGGGTCATCAATCTGGACTACAAGATGCACTGAATGATTACATTATCTCTGAAAAGTACAAAAAAATGTTCTAGCTAAAGAGAATCTTGCCAACAGCCTCATTTTTAAAGAAAATACTTTACAGGGTTTTTTTCAAAATTATTTTAAAAGATGTAAATTTGATGATGCCACTTGTTTTTTTTTTTTGACTTATGATTTCATAATGATGTCTAGATCTTTTCAGGCAAAAGGAGCTTGCATTGGTGATGTGTTTCTTGCATCAGATGTTGCCTTCCATGATAGGAGAATCCCTATCCCTGTGAGTTCTCCATGGTTTGCAATTTTTAACTGGAATATTTTCCAGTAGTTTTTTGCTAAATCTCTCAGTCCTGGTTTTATCCTAGATCTTCATCTTTCTTTTGTTCCGCAGGTTTTTGATCTGTATGGGGTTGGTTTGCGGCAAGTTTTCTCAACTCCCAATCTTTTAAAGGATCTCAACCTTAAGGTGATGACTCTACTTTGTTTTATTTAGTAATACCATATCAATGTTTTAAAGTTATTAAATCAACGTTCTTGTTTGTGCTTCTATTATGTCATACATTTTTTCACTGAATTGCATTATCCATAGCTGATCAGAACTTTCACTGAATTGCATTATCCATAGCTGATCAGAACTTACTTGCAAGTGCACATTGGATTTCTGTAGATCTCTCTCTTTAAACTGGTGTCAAACATAATTGATAAACCTTAAGTTCTTTCCTTTTGTCATAAATAAGCTGTCATAGGGATTCAGATATATTTTAACTTCATTATGATGTTGTTCTTGGTTTGCAATTGTTTCATAGAAAAAGTACGCCAAATGGAGATCGGCAAATTACTCCCAAGAAGAAAATAATGGCATTTCCCATTAGACATTCGATTCTCAGAAGAACAATGAGTCACTGGTTGGGTACTGCAGACACTTCATGTGAAACACGATAGTTTTTTTTTTTTTTCCTTCTAGTTACGAGTGACTGGTGTTGGTAATGCTTACTAATTGCTGCTAAGTCATGACTGAAGCTTATGTTATATGGATATACCCCCACTGTCAGTGCTGTCATTTTTTGAGTTCAAATTGACACACCTAGTGTTAGCAACCAATGATGCTGAAAAACCTAATTAAAAGAAATTATTAGTACACTTTTCTTATACATCTATTTGTCACCTATGCCTATGCAAGATGTGCCTTTATTATTCAATTGCTCTAAATTTCTTTTAGGTGATGTGCATGATGACTCACTGTATCAGAGTTAAAATTAACAAGCTATCTACCTGCGTACTTTGCTAGCTCTTCAAATAGTGGTCTGAGCGCAATATCTTTCATGGTTGCTGGTTGCCACCATCTCATTGTCTGCCTTTTCATCTTTTTTCCCACCTAATGGACTTCTCCTCATTTTACTCTATATGTCTTGGCCATTCTGGACTGATTCTGGGTTTAATGTGCAGCCGGTATTAAAGAGACAGAATAAACATGGCAGTAGTGATAGTTTTCTTTTGGGCTTTGGAAGAATAGTTTTGATACTCGAGGAGATTGATGCATGCATGATCTCATGTTTCTGTGCAGTCCCTTGCTTATATGCATCTAACCAAAAGTTGGCTGTTACCATTTGTCATGAGTATGTGGACTTTGTATAAATGCACATAATCCATGCAACAGGTGTTAATGATAAGCATTTTCTGGCATATGTGACGTGTAGGCTTGTTTATTAATTGTGGAAATATAGTTATTAGGGTGTATTAATCTTATGGTAGAGATCCTCACCACAATATGAGGTGTTTAGCTATTTAAGTTCATTCATAACACCAAAGAACTCTCAAGTTTCGATTGATTTTTGCGCATGTCGCAGATTGGCAAATTGTCTACCGGAGACTCTCTAGATATGTCTCCACAGGATGAAGCATCCATCATTGCAAATGACGCAACAATTAAAGACATGGAGGTAAAAGATCTATTATGCTATGTCTTTTTCATTAATTAGAAGTAAAAATTAACAAGATTGGTCATTGCATCCATCCCCTCCCATACACAGGATTAAATGGATTTGCACTCCTTTCTCTTAACCGAGCAGTATCATTATTTACTGTTTGGTATCAGCTAAACTTTTTAGTTTGTTTTCCCTTGACTTAATAAACGCATTTTGGCAAAGATAAGGTACAGGTGGTATAAGTAGAAGAAAACACCTTATCTTTTGCATACTTTTTTGGCATGTGGATGGTCTAATTATTCACTTGTGCTTGATCATGAAAAGCCATTAACTACATTTATAGGTAAGAAATCAAGGATAGAGAGATACCATCAACTCTTAAATTGCCTTGTGGTAAATCAGGGTCTTTGTTATTAGAAACCAACCGTATTACAAGCAGGAGCAAGCATAATCTATGCACATCTAAATTCCTTCAACTCTCAAATTATAAAAACACTTGATGAAACAAACTTGTGGCAATTGCATAAAATAATTCTAGCTGACATTACTAGCTTTGTTTTCTCAAATTTTGTTGTTTTTATGTTGTCTAGACATGGGGAAGAATTGGAATTACCGGGAACTACTTTTTGGCTATACCAAACCCTTGGATTTTTTTTTTTCATATTGCAGTACACTTTTTGCTTGTTTTTCTATTGGTTTTCAGGGAGCAGCAGTTGCTTATGTGGCTGATCTTTTGAAAATCCCTGCAATTTTTATAAAAGCTGTGACCGATATTATCGATGGTGACAAACCAACCTCTGAGGAATTCCTGCAAAATTTAGCAGCAGTGACTGCTGCACTTGATCAAGCAGTCACCCAAGTTGTTGATTATATCAGTGGGAAGTGCCTACCTGAACTTTGATCCATTGTATTCTTCTCCTATTCATATGTCAGCAGACCAATACTTGTTCAAATCGTCTGGTCATATTCATTCTATAAAAATGTCATGCCTGATTTAATAGATTGTGATTTCCAGGTATAAACATTGTTTGTAATGGTCTTTACAGTCTTAGTACGTATGTGTTTGTTGAAGAGCCAAACGGTTTTTAATCACTATTTGTGAATTTGTTCATGTAGTGACATGTTTGTGGGCAATTGCTTGTCTGCCTTCTATTGCAACATATAGAGCTGATTCTTACTTAACTAGTCATCTATTTATTGTAATATTACTTGCTTTTTCCAGTTTTCTGGGTTTTTTTAAGTCGTTAGATCGAGATTTTTATCTATTCCTGACCCGAATTATCGACCTCGTGTGTGTCTGTGTGTGGGAGTGAATACTTTTTTTTGTTTGTTTGTTTGTTTGTTTTTTTGGCTTAATAAACTAGAGAAGAAGTGTAGTTGAGCAGAAAAATCGGCGTGTATTGGTTAATTTTGACTGTATTGGGCACAATAAAGTAAAAGATGGTGCAGAATAATGTGATGTCTCACTAACTATCAAGTACACAGTAACTCTGTTATACGAAATACAGATTTAAACCAGTAATTAACAGAAGATAGAAAGCGTTCAAGCCTTCTCTCCTGGGGATGTGTACATGTTCCTTGGTGAAAGGGTCCCTATGTTTACTTTGAGGGTGGCTAAGACAATCACCAGCAACAAAAATTCAATTGCACCATCTGATGTAATGCTGTGATCAAATCTTAATAGCACAATTCGCATCGTTCAACTTCACCTTCCAAAATTTAACCCAACTTCAAAAATAATTTAAATAGGAGATGTTACGCCTAATTTAAAATTATTTCTTATTGTACATCATTTAGAACTTGGGAATGGCTATGGTAGTGTACCGAAAATTACAACTTTTAAAGATTGAGTTATAGTTTTTTGTTATAGACGTTATAATTTTAAAAGGCATGATCGATCATGGAAGATTGTAATCGATACCGAAAGTTTATAATCGCTTATAGAAAGTTGTGATCGATACTTAGAGTTTACGATCAATCATGACGTTCTTTTGAACAGTTATAACTTCTCTTTTAAAAATTTGAACTTTACCATAACAAATGATAATCGATAGTACGACACTTGAAAAATTAGACTTTCTCTTAAAACTCAATTAAAATACAAGATAAAGTACAATATCTTCCACCAGTGACATTTATTTCCTCATAACCTTAATATACCAAAATATTTCCTCTACATACACAAACAATAAACAGTACAAACGATGCCAAAAAGAAAAAGAAAAAGAAAAAGAAAAAACAAACAGAACCCACTTTTATTCCACTTCTTCTCAAATCAATTCACATTTCCTTGTCCTCCTGATCACTGTAGGTCCATGAACTTTTTAAGGGCATTTGAGTTTGTTGTTACGGGTGGTCAAGCTGGCATAGCAAGGACAGGACTCTGTGTTGCCTGAAGTGCCCTGAGGGACACAGTTGCACCTAGCACAGCATGTCCCACAGGTTCTATTGCACAGCCTTGGCCTTTTTGACAAGCTGCACCTAGCTTTACAAGCTGGGGCACAATCTGTATTCACCCGAAAACACAAACATTTGAGTACAAAACTAGGATAAAACTATGGTAATGATTTGTAACTTTTCGGTACCATACCGCATCATAATACAAAATAAAGATGAGATTATGGCTATTCTGTAAACTTTTTGAGTCCTAAATTAACCTATAAGATGATACATTCGTCACAAATTAATGCGTTATAACTAACCCATATTTACTTGAAATTTTCAATATGGTACCGAGGACGTTACTAATAAGATGTGAGGGTTCATTTAAGAATCAAATTCAGCAAAATATGAAGAAATCTAGTAGAGTTTTATGTACCCATTTTTTGGCCGGTGCCATCTGAAACAGAGTTGCTGGTCTGCAATATTTCAACATAAACATATATACAGTTAGTGATGGTTTTTAAGTGTAAAAGAACTGAAGAATAGATATAACTTATATGGTGTTTCTGTCAGCTGATTGGATTGAGAAATTACCAGTTGATTGGTTTGGATTGCTTGGACATTGTGGATAACAAGTAGAGAAAGAAGAAGTGAAGCAACAAGAACTTTAGAGATTGCCATTGATATATCTAAAAGCAAGGTGTTTTGAGAGAGAGAGAGAATGAGAAAAACAGAAGAGTAGTGTAATTTATCAACTCTGGCTTAGCTTTCTTGTGGAGAGAAAGAAGATAAGAAGAGTATCTATAGAGGGAGAGAATGAAGAGGGTGGAGGTTGGCAGGGTCATACGAGGACAGATAGAAGCTCAAAAAAGCAAGAACTCGGAAGGTGACATGCATGGGAAAAGCCAGAACCATACTTGTCCTTTAATAATTTAGAGGTCTCAAGTTCAATACTTCTTATATTACTAAAATGTCAGTCACATTTGTTTTTCATAAAGATATGTTCTAAACTTGCTTAAACTATTGTATCCAAACTTGAGAGAGTAGTTGACATAAACTTCGACACCCATATAAAAAAAAAAAAAAAACATACTCTGGCAACCAGAAAAAAGAAAAGAACATAGTCTGGCAATATGGCCTACCCACCAAAAACTTGTAAATACTACCCTTCTTTCCAAACTACATATAATAATTGTTATGGTCAACGAAGCAGAACTGGCATGCATTAATTCTAACTTAAAGCACATAATAAAAGATTCTGCATTATCGTGAACAAGAGTTTTTTAACATCCCCTCGTTGTAAAACTCCTGCAGCTATATCAAAAGTAGAACAGAATACATAGTCTATTGGCGATAAATTTTTGGTAATTAATTCTTTGAATTAGATAGTTGAGTAAGAATACAGAATCTATTGAAAATGTTCCCTTACATATTTATACCTAAACAACATCCTTCGATCAGGGGTGGCTCAAGAAAATTTGAGACCTAAAACGAAAATACTAAATGACGGCCTTTTTTATTTTTAATATTAATTTTAAAAAAATAATTATTTTTAATATTATTTTAAAAAAAATTAATTTATTTTTAATTTATTGTGTGTGAGAGAGAGACATAAGAAAAACGTGCTAGTGTTGTTAAGAAAAATGTTTTAATTTTTGTTTTTTTTTACCGAAGAGTGTTAATTTTAACATTTTTTTTTACTTATTTTTATAGAAAGAGAATGGATAGGGGTAAATATGAATTCACTTTTGAGTATTTTTTATTTATTTATTTTTTAGATTTTTAATGTAATGAATTGGATCATGGATTCAAATTATTACAATAAAAATTTTGATTGTACTTAATTTTTTAGGCTTTTTTTGTAGTGTTTAAAATTTAAAAGATTTAAATTTTTGATGTGCTTTATATGGTTTAAACTTAAAATAGTTGTTATTGTATTTGTAGAACAATTATGATGGATTGATGTTTATGCCTTGGATTTTCTTGTGTTTTATTATAATTGTTTTAGGTTTTAGTATTATTAGTTTATTGTGTTGTTAAATTAGTGCAAGTTACTTAATTGAATTGTTAAAATGATTCAAAAATTAATAACTACAAAATGTGTTCACCCGACTTCTTACCCGATTAATTTGGACTAAAGTCGAGTAAAAATACTAAACTTGATAGGATAAGATAGGTCAAGAAAAAATTCTTCCGCAAAGTATCAGATAAGACGATAAAAGACTATATTTCCTACCGGGCGAGGGCCAATTGAGTCATGCTAAAATTTTTTCAACCGATACTCAATTTATAGACGATGATTATTATTTTTTTGGTCATGAATATGTTGATCATTCACATGCCAGTTTTTTGTCTTGAAATTTACAGGCTGGTGTTCTCATAAATCCTCTTTGAGAATTTACCCAAAAAAAAAAAAACCACCCTCTGGAGAGGCCTGGCTGACTGTCCTAGAGTTTGTTTGCGATGTGTATCAAAGAGTCCAACTATGATACTACTAATAATAATTTTTTTGGCATTGCCACTTTCAATCAGAGCAAGGCATGTATAAATTTTCTATATTTTATCATTTTCACTATTAAATCAAGACATAATCTACAGCTAACAAAAAAAATTACGACGTGGACCAAAGTGGTTTCCATCCATCAACAATAATTTTTATGGGCAATACCACCGTCTCCATTGTTACATCTTAAGGTCGTAAATTTAAACCTTGCCATCACCCTCCCTGTAATAATACTTGACCCAAAAAAAAAAAAAAAAAGAGCCAACTTTTTCTATTCAGATAAAGGAGCCAAACTTTACAGTCAGCAACATTACACTCAACATTCAGACTGCAAAAAGAAAGCTAGAGGCCATGGCCAAGGAACATGAAGGATATCATATCATTCGCCTGCAAGCTGAGGTCAGCATCACTGACTATTCATTTCCGGTTGAATGATCAAATAAATGCATTAGTAGTTGAAATAGATTAGCGCTGACACAATGAAGTTGATCTGATTTCGGTTCAAATCAAGTTATAATTTAAACCATCCAAGTAGTCTGAATTGCCAACTTTGCTGACCAGACATTTAAATTTCAGTCAAGACTACAAGGAAGAACCAGAGACCAACATAGACCATATGATGAGGCTAAATAACAAAAGAAAACCAACCAAAATATATATATATAAAATTCCAACCATAGCCTGCACATACAATCCTCCTTATACTACTCCAGAAGGAAGGCGTAACACAAGCTGTCCTCCGAAAACACTGTAAAGCAGAAAAAGAACTAGTCAATATAAATGACTGTTACCATTATTGGTACAATATGCCATAAAAAGTTTCTTTAACCTTTTCACATAGTAGTAACAGAAATCGGCTAATATAAAAGTCTGCACAATTTCTGAGATAAGAACCATCGAAGGCCACAATCCAAGACCCAAAGCTGTTAGCAGATGGCCACGAGTGTCTAAAACCTGTCAAAAGCATTGCAAAACAAAAGATATAACGGCCAAACAGAAAGTCAAATCAAATGGAAGACTCTACCATCAATCAATAGTCACCACCACATGGGAGGTAAAGTCCACATGGGTCGATCATATCTAAGCACTAGGAACTAATCGGTAGCATAGAATTGATCATTTTATATAAAATCTACAAAAATGTTGTCATTGCTCCATAAATGATGCTTAATTTCATCTGTAATCTACACAACAGTGAACAATTGCACAAATCCTTGGGCATTAGATTTTTTGTACCATACATATACTACTCATTGACAGCCAATTTCAATATCCATCTGAGAATGGAGCAATTTCGAGAGAGAAAGTCTCTCTCGCTCTCTCTCTCTCTTTCTCTTTCTCTCTCTCTCACACACACACACAAAGAGTCATCAGCTACCACCTCAGCTATACAAACTCTTAGCATGTTACTCCTTTGGACCATATGTCATATGTGCTACTCTAAAATCACGTGTAGGTATCAGAAGATCAAATAACTAGTTAATGCCACATTTAAGTCAAGACGATGCTGTTTGAGCAAGCTCTCCCACAATTCATGAATGGAAAAAATCTCAAAATACAAAAAAGATATTGTTCTACACACCAAACAACTGTAAATATTAAAGTTTGCACTTCAAACCTGGAGAACCCAATGAGCACAGCTCAAGAACCTTGCAACACCCAATGCAAACACATAATGAGCTGTGAATGGTTCAACAATCTGAGATAGAGAACAGGAAAAGAATAAAATAGTAATCCAAGCAAGCATTAACACTTCATCCAGCTGTTTTAATTAAAAAAAATTGATTACTTGCTTCAAAGTACTTGTACCTTTGTGTTTTGCATGACCCGCAACTGGGGTAGCACAGAAACAGCTTCCAGGTATACACAGAATGCCCATAGAATCCTGTTGACAAAATGATGTGATGTGGTCGGATGAATTAACAAAGCTAATACAGCACAAGGAACCACCTGCGAAAAAAGTAAAAATAAAGTCTATGATTTGTTCGAAGAACGTCTCGAAATTCAGGTGATTGCGGATGATATAACTAGTAAATACGTGCCTCCTCATGTCAACATATTTTATTGTCTAGGAGGAATTGTGCTTACTTTGTTTTTAGTTCAAGTAACAATAATTTTAAGCCAAGCAAAAAACAAATTTCCCAAGAAAATCAAGTATGACAGGTTCTGGAAACCCAACTATTCATATAAATAGGTTAGTGTAATTTAGTATATCGTCAAACAAGCCTAATAACATGAGAAGGGAATCAATGAACAACAGATGCATATCTGATAGGGGTACTTGCTATTGTAGTGAGAAGCAACATGGAGAATTTTAATCTGTAATTGGACAAACTCTACCAAGTTGAAGTGAAAAAAAAAAAAAAAACAATATCCACTGGCTTTAAGTGCACTGTAATAGCGCAACTATTAACAGATAGTCTAAGACTTGCATAGTTGGTACTTGGTAGCATCAATAAACACAGGAATGTAACAAAGTATTAAACCTATTCCGCATACAATATCCTAAAATTGCTCCTTAAATTGGAAAAGGCAACATATCAGAAACCAGAATGGCATAGCAGAATGTAGGCTGCCAAGATTTGATGACAAAACTAAAAATGTCTATAATATCTAAGATTTGATGACAGAACAACTATACAAGATCCATACACTTAACTATTCAATATATATTGGAGTACATTTCTAAGAATTACAAATCAAATTAAACATAAGGAATGACAAGATCCTCCAATCACATCTCCTATCTCAGGAATGATTGTAAGACACTAATAAATCACATCACAACTAAAATTCAATCAAGGCCTTCAACATCGTGGTTCACAGGCAGGTGCATCTGTTAAAATCGGTATTGTTTAGTATTCAATCATACTGGGACAGAATGTTTATATAGTCCAAGAAGGTCATCAACTATATTCAACATAGTAAAAGGCCTTATCATGGTCTGGGACTGGGCTGAAGACAGCTAAAGCAAAAGTTGCAATGAATATTCATTGTCATCTTCAGGAAGAATATGGACAATGATTCTACAGAGTTTCAGATTGGAATGAAGCCATGTGATGCATCATAGAGGTCCATGATAACTAAGAAGGAATCTCTTCTTCCCAGTATATAAGCGGTGGATAAAGAATTTTAGCTTCTGGAAGTTCCTGTTTCTCTACATTGTCCAAGCTCTTCAGAAAAAGATTCTTAAGCTTCAACTAAGTTTAGATCTCGTATACATTACACTATCAGGGATGGTAGGTCTACACAATCTTGGTTTGACAATTGGCATAGAATTACATATAATGTTACATTAACCAGCTACGTAATACTTGGTCATATTATCTTCAAAAAATCAATAGGTCTGGGCCATGTTTACTTTGACCTCTTTGAAAATGATAGAGCTCATGAGCATTCTTGGTAAGGCATGCTGTTTGTGTATTTGTAGAAAACAGCTGAATCCCATGAACATCTGTTCTTTGTTTGTGGCTTTACGAAAGATCTATTGCACAGGTTTTAAGCAAATTGTGACCTTGCTAGAATTGATGGCTCTTGGATTTGAATGATAGATTGAACCAGTGCTTTAAGGGAAAATGTTTTTGAGGGATGGTTAGGTACATAGCTATGGTTCCTTTAGCATGTCACATGTTGATTGAAATGAACCAAGGGACCTTTGAGAATAATTACAGTGATTGGGGATCCCTAATGAATGCAAGTACTAGAGATGTTAAAGGGAGGTTCACTGGTTGAGAGAAAATGAAAAACTCAATGATAGCTTGAACTCTGCCAAAATTAGTGCATATCAATCCAATGGAATAGCTGCAAGACTACCCAGGGTTTAGGTGCCAGAGTGATGTTCGAGTGAATTATATGTCAACAGCTGTTTTTTAACAATTGTATAGGTAGGTTGTCCAGGCAAACAGATTGTGTATGCATCTAATCTTGGGGTATACATCTTCAAATACAGTATGGTTGGTTTTCCCTGTTGAATATCTTTTGTTTTCAATAAATTCTTTATACGTAGCAAAAAACGAGAATTAAGATTGCTAATGATAAAACTAAGGCTAATGAGAGGACATGTAAGAAGCCACATCCCATTCAGGGCCAATGCATAAAAAATACAGAATGAAAATGGAATCAACATGAAGGAAGACTCACCACATAATATATTGCAAAGGTGTCTTTGTCCTCCATGTAACTTGACTTTAGTTTAAAACGAATCATATAGATAACCCACAGGGTTGTAGCAAACGTGGTTAAATCAAGCAAGGTGTGTATATCATATTCCATGACAAAACTGCAGTACAATCTAACAGCCAAAAATATAGCTGTTAGTTCCTGGGTTTTGAGTGACAGTCCTGCAATGGGAGGGGAAAAAGGCAGAAATCAATCACAACAAGAATAAAAGATGGAAGCAATGAACATATGCAATAAATTGGATCAGAAGCAATGCATAAGTTGGTAAGAGCTAAACCTATAATGATCAAAATATACAAAAACATCCCCAAACCTTGAAATATAGGGAATTTGAATGGGTGACGCTATTCCCACCCTACATTCTTTCTCACCCCATTAAACTCCCAATTATAAAACTACTAAGCCCATCCTTGCTATACTCACCCCACTAATAACTAAGTCCACCCATTAATGAATAAACCTACCTTATCTAACTAAAATACAAAAGTGGTAAAAAAGTTCTTCTTAGTTTTGTCTTGATGTGCCAGGATACCAACAACTATATTCCGAATAAAATATACAAAAAAATCTTGTTTGAATGTTAACATAAAAAAATGGATAAGCCATCACTTAAATACTTTTTATACTTTAATCATTTTGTGGGAATTTTTTTTCAAAAAATATAGTAAGTCAAGTTTGTGTATATATGTATATAAGCCATCACTTAAATACTTTTTATACTTTAATCATTTTGTGGGAATTTTTTTTCAAAAAATATAGTAAGTCAAGTTTGTGTATATATGTATATAAGCCATCACTTAAATACTTTTTATACTTTAATCATTTTGTGGGATTTTTTTTTCAAAAAATATACTAAGTCAAGTTTGTGTGTGTGTGTATATATATATATTTTACCTTATATTATTATATAGAAAACTTAAATGAAAATCATTGACATTGATAAAAAAACACGTACAATAAAATAAAATAAACTTGGACCCAATACTAATTTAAATATCACTTGAGAGATCTATACTAAATAATCAACTTGAGTATATTTTTGTATAGACCGTGTAAGATGGGGTATAAAAATAAACTCTAAAGGTAAAGATTAAGATGAGTTTAGTCATTAGTGGAGTGGGTATATAGAATGAGGTGGACTTAATTACTAGTACGGTAAGTATCTAAGAAGCACGGATACAGACACAAATATGGAAACGGGTGTCGATACGGACATGAAATACGACAAAATTCTAAAATATAGGACACAAAAACGGCTAATTAAAATAATATTATATGCTTTTTATAAATAGAAACATTAATAATACAACCTAATAAACATTGAGCGGTTGGTTAATATTTTATAATTGGACAATGGACTAATATCAAATTAGACATATGTTACAATTGGATGGTCTAATATCAAATTGGATAGTAGATTAATGCATTTGACAACTAATAAAATAGATTATATCAAAAAAAAGAAAAATATTTTTTTATAAAAAGATGAAATTTAATGGGTATTCATATATATATATATATATATAGAAAGAGAGAGAGAGAGAGAGAAGTGGAAAAAAAAAAGAAGCAAAAGAACAATATAAAAGGGAAAAAAAAAGAGTTAAGAGGTGAGTGGGGTTTCGGTCTTTTAGAAGACTCTGTTTTGTGAACTAGGGCAAACTGCCGATCATCTCCCACAAAAATTGCAGGGGGGTTTGAGCTGGTGAAGTAAAAAAACGAGAGGAGGAAAGAAGAATTTTGAAGAAGACATATCGGTTGGACCTTTTGTCTAGTAAAGATACTATCTCTCCCATATTCGACTTTTTTTTTTTTTTTTTCTGTTCAAGACACTTGTTGAAGTGTCGGACACATGTCTGGCCATGTCCAACACCGCCACGTCGACCCTCGCTAGAGTATTCGTGCTTCCTAGGTGATTATAGAAAGAGTTGACTTAATAGTTTTATAATTTAGAATTTAATGGATTGGGAATAATCCCACCCAATTCAAATTCGTCTCAATTTTCAAAATGTTTGGCCATTTTGGTGAACATGAAACAAAATTTTGATCATAGGTTGCTCATTCCCCAAGTAAATTGAAAGTGCAATCCAAATGAATCACATGCATAGCGGCAAATTGGTCAACACTTAAATCTTGGAAAGTCTGACATAGGCAGAGATATGAAAGATAGATCTTTTACAGCGTGTCATTAAAATCAATATGATTGACGCCGAACAGAGCCAGCCATCGGTGTGCTTGATAACAGAGTAGTAAATTTAGGAAGATGAACAATTCGGAAAAAGAGAGCAGTCAAGAACCATTTGATTTTCTGGACAATAAATAGAAACTATCATTTGCACAAGCACTTTTGTTTTCCCTCTTTTCCTTTTGGTGGGAGTAAGTAAAGATACACAGGTCAGTAATACAAGCCCAACAATTGAAGTAACATTGAAATCCTAAAACTAGATGAAAAAACAGTTGCTTTGCCACTCTAACCTAATCAAAGAAATAAAACCCTAATATTGGGCATTATGTGAACACAATGAAATTACAATCTCCCTCTCTGAATATTGAAATGAAACGAAAAATATAAAATTTTCTGAAAGAATCAAACATATATAGAAAAAAAGAATCAATCAAAAACAAACTAAAACTCTAAGTATTAACGTTTCGATTGGTGAATGAAAAAACATATACAAAAACAAGATCTCTGAGAATGTCCCAAATAAAGTTCCAATCTTTTTCTTCTCCAATGATTTATCATCAACCAAACACATCCAAATAAACAAAACCCATAAACAAGCGCATAAATTATTGCAAATTGGGTTCGTAATTACCAGCGCAAGTTCTTTCCTTCATGAGCTTATAAATAAGGACAAAGAGTCCAACGGCGTGAACAGCTTCGGCAGCGACAAAGAGGTTATCGTGATCGTTCACAATAACTCGTAGCAACACCAGAGCCGACATACCGGCCACAACCGCCAAAAAAGCCTTCACCTTCGGCGGTTGTCGCCGCACCCATGTTGTCAACAATTGGATCGATCTTTTCGGTGGCCTCATCGTCTCTCTCCCTCTCTGATTGCGGTTTCTTCTTTTCTCTTTCTGATTTGGTGGCGAGAAAGATGGATACTGAAGGAAAATTGAGATCGATTTATTGGGTGAGTGCCTAAGAACTGTTGGGGAGAAGGAAAAGCGTATTGACTGGATTTGGGAACTAAAAAATTTCTTCCTTTTGTTATTTTCGCTTGCCTACACTAGATGGAAGATGCAGCAAGAGTTCAACTGTGACTCCTTTTGGTCAATTCTGATTTAAGAGAAAATATTGACCGTAACGGCTACATTAGATTATCGTGTTAATATAATATAATTATCCAATAATAAGATAATATATAAACAAGATGATTTTACATAATCGTAAATGTATGACATGGATGACAATTATTTAGTTACGTGAAATTCACTTGTCCACATATTATCTTATTATAAGAAGTAATTTGTGTCCGAAGACACTATAAGTGAAAAATGATAAATTGGGAGAGAAAAAAATTCAATGTAAATAATTTTGAGATGAATGTTAGTGGCCGTTACATAAATTTATTTAAAATCTACATTGTTTTATATTATAGATTATTAAACGGTTACACACAATATTCATTTGATTTGTAGGTGTATAATTAAGAATAAATATTCATTATAACGGGTAATTTCATGTCATCAATAAACACATAATATAATCAATCAATAAGAATATACAATGTACGATAAGTTGCAATTTGGTGAGTAAATATCCAATACAATGGTGATACTATGCTATCAATGTCATATAGTGTTACCATTTAATAAAAAAAATAATAAAATGATGATATAGTATCACCGTTAAAATTAATGTTTTTTCCAACTTAGGACAGATTAATGAGTTAATCCCACCCTAATTCGAGCTTAGACTAAAACATTTAATATTTTAGACTGGATTTTTTTAATTTTCAAATCCCAAATTGTACTCGATGCGAATCTAACCTGAATTGTGTAGCCCAAGAATTAAAAATTAAGCTTATTAGCTCAACCCGAATTCCACCCAGAATTGTATAGTCTAATAATTAAACTCGATTCAAATCAAATTTTAACGATCGAAGGATTAGGAAAATTTTTTTTTTAACTTGGGATGAATTCAAATTAACCTCTACAATTGTCAGCGTCTCATGCTTACACTATTATGCCAATATTTTTTTTAGCAATACACAATGCATGATCTTCTCAACATATTTAAGGATATTAAGGGGTAATGTCACCATTTGAGGGGATTTATGTTGCAAATTATTTTATTGGTAGACATTCACCATTATGAGTGAAAAACCCACGTGTACAATGACTCTAACTTGAATACAGAATAAGTGACCTGCTAAAAAAAAAAACAGAAAGAACATGTTTAGAGAGAATCTCACAGATTTATGCTAGGCAAGATTAGATCCTAATCCAATAGGCCTCCTGACTGTTGAACAAAAAACAACAACTACTATTTACTTCCTCTCATGAGCTTGACTTTGAGAGTCTGAGACTATTAACATTGAGAGCCATGAAAACTGTCTTAATTGTGGTTGCTTCCTCTTCGGACAAGGCCATTTTGCTCAACTAGCAGCCACCGGGAAGTGTTGTTTCCTACCATGCTTGCCAATAACTGAGCTGTGACCCTTGAGCAAACAGGTTTGAAATAGTGTTCCATTATGGCTACCACTGAGAGCCACTTGACCACTTAAGAGGCACTTGGTTCTCATGCCATTGTCAATCTAAAACTCCATATTCAGCATTTGAATTCTCATCAAAATCACATCAACTCCATGGGATTTATATATGAAAACAGAACTGGGCAAGTATAATCTGCATCAGAATAAACTTGGCACAAGACGAGAATCATAACGAACGCAAAATTATAAGCATGGAGGAAAAAGAATCAAAACGGCTTGGCATTTGCATCAATAAAAGAACAGAATACTAAATACAGGCTACCGACACTTTATTTGCAATAAGGATTTCCCAATTGAAATCTAAGGAAAAATGTTAGTAGCTCAATTCTTCCTCCCACCCCTTCTTTTGCCCCATCCTAAGAGAAGGTTGAAGGATCAAAAGTGGATCACAAGAAGACACACAAATTTATATCAGCAAGTCCACGAAGCTGATCTTTTCAGGACAGGCTTCATCTGTCTGTCATCCTCGAGTGCCACCATACCCAAATGGGAAGGGTCTTCCAGCATCATCTTTGCCACCAAGTAACCAGCAATGGACCATGTCTGGTATTTACGAGCCTGCTTCCCAATATATCGACCAAGCTTTCCATCATAATACTCAGGCCATCCATCTTTTGATAATCTGGTTTCAGCAAGTTCAATAGCACGTCTCGCAATTTGGGGGCGTCCAGTCTTGATACATGCAGCTGTGAGGAGCCATAAAAGCACTGCAGCCACAGCAATTAAACTAATTACCATGATACATAAAAATAGAAGGAAATTAGTTGGCACAGGGAGTTATTTCTCATAGAGTTCACCATATTTTCAGAAATATGTTTTCAAATAGTATAGCTGGAGGGAGGAGTAATACTAAACTCATCAGAACATAAAAGGATCTACAGTGAACTATTTCTCAATTTCCTTTATAAAAGCCTTTCTAACATGGAGAATGATCATTTCCTAGCCTCTGAGAAGAAAAAAATGGATATTCAAACATTCAAATCATTGGTCACAACTTAATCAATTTATGGCTACCTTATAAACAGAAAACTGGGCAGCTGGTTTAAGATCAATTTCAGACAACCATCCTGGTGAGAACATGTAAGCACTGTTTCAAAACTTCTCAAACAATCTAAACTAGATTCTTATGGTTGAAATATGTAATTCCCCCAAAAGTACATCAACAGCTGAGATACATACTGATATTCCTCCAATCAGACCTAAAACGTACAAACATACCTGGCCAAGATCCTCCATTGTGGTAGCTCCATCTGGTATTTTTTGGATCACATCCTGTCACAATCCTCCACTCATGGCTTTCAATGGCAGGATAACAAACCTTTAGGGGCATATCACCAACCAACTCTTGCCAACGCGATTCTATAAGATCCATAATTGCAGTAGACTGTTCAGGGGTGGCTAAGGAAGACAAAATTGCTATGCAATTGCCCAAGCAAAACCAACGAAAATCCATGTTTGAAGGACCAACATTCCCAATAAAGTAGCCACCATGCAATGGCATAAAATCAAAAACCCATTCTGGCAGAGAATCTGGCATTACATTGAACTTGTTGACTGCTGTGTGAGAATATTCTTCGGTCTTGTATCGATATATACCATTAAGCTGCTTTAAATCTAACCAAAAGTAGTTTCTCATGTGATAGCTCAATGCATGAAGGCGCTTAACTATTCGTTCGATAACCTCTTTCCCTCCTGTATCTTGCTTGAGTAAAAGCAAAGCGCATCTTAAAGCCATAAAGAAAAGCGCTTGTATTTCAATTGGATACCCATAAACACCCTGGAAATATATGCATAACAAAGTACAGTGTGAGACAAAAAAATTGATTTAGACAAAATATAAGAAAATTAAAGAAAACCAGAGTAACTAGTTGAGAACTCATATACAAGTATAGCCTTGTTTTAAAGAGAAAGAACCAGGAAACCAATCAATGTTGCATTCAGAAACTCCAAGCACTGCAAACCACTTTATTCTCTGAGCAAGTCTTGCAAACCTACATTTCTCAGAAGAAGACTCTTACCTTTTTTGTAAGCCTCTCAGCCGACCAGACCACAATTCAAATCCAATCTGAATAATTTATACTTGCACTAATTTACTAAATGCACCTGAAAACCCCAACATATCTTTCTTATAGAACAGGAGAAAGACACTTGGAACAACCAACCTATGTAAAAACTATATCCTTCCCATTACTTGTATAGTCAGATCCAATCAGATAGCAAATGAGATACCATTTCGAATCTAGAGTAGATCACTAACCAAATCTAGAGTAGATCACTTATTGTCTATTCGCTAATATGGATATATACAGTTCAGGTCCAAACCTGACAATTAACAGATGTATAATGTTTCTTGTCATGGCGATATGCAAAATATAACATGTAAGTTTGAAAGGAATAATCTGAAGGTTCTGAACCCAACTTAATCTGCGACAAACCTAACACAACATACTATCTAAGACAATGTAACAAAATTTATCTACAATTGGCAACGTTAGAAGCCAAATTTCAATGAGACAAGTAGGAAGTAGCAACAGACATATGCAAGGAAATAATACAACAGTAACCATAGCGTTAAAAACTTAACTCACCATTCTACGATCAATCATACTGCATCCGTCAGCACAAAGAAGAGTTGGAAATGTGTCAAACCCCTCAGAAATACATAAACTCAGTATCAAACGCATACCCTTCTGGCATTCAGGCATTTCTGCCAAGGAAGAGTCTCCTGTTGACTTTGTGTATGCCCGAAGCAATATGATCCACCAAAAGCCAGAGTCAACAGGTGCCACTCTACCTATTGCACTCTCACCGAAATCAGCTATTAAGGTCTCAGTATTCCTGACTGGATCATGAAGCACTTTAAAACTAGCTGGCATCACACCCTCTCCCAGCTGGAATCGATCAATCTTTTTCTCCCATGATTGAAGGCGAAGAGTCTTCAAAAGAAAATTCTTGACTATCTCAGGTTCCCCATTCATCAGAAAAGCCAATGCACTTGGGACAAAGTCTCTCACAAACACCTAAACAGTAAGAAAGTTAGAAGCCATTTCCACTGACTAAGATGGCCTTAGATTAACAAAACAGATCATTCTTATTAATAAGTATGAGCTTGAAGAGAAAAGTATATTGGAAAAATTGGCCAACAAAAATGAGTAAATAGGAAAACGACTGATATAATAGGACGTGCTCAATCAATTGCAAATATACTCCTACATTATCACTGAACTGCACAGCAGAGCGTCGAGTAATCCATATTTTGGTAGTTTAATCAACATGTCCTCTTGCCATGTCCCATTAGATGCTAGGATAACAGAAGGAGGTAATAACAATAAAAGTTTGCGCTGCACATTTAATGTTTTCTTTGTTTCCGAATAAACATGAAGCTCAACACCCCGCACCAGGCTCCTTTTTCATTTTTAACTATCGAATTATTGAATTCCTAAATGACAAAATCTAAAAACTAATCTTTTTATCCACATTTCTTCAGCAATCAAATAAAGCATGGAGAGGCAGGAAAACTATCTACCCGGTTGACTGCCATTCTTGGAAAAAATAATACAGTCCGAAAATGTAAACATCCATAGAGATATGCCTACTACACCTCAATTACTCCAATTTACAAGCCAGAAAATGATATGAAGTTGTAAGATAGCAGAATCCAGTTTGTGGTATTCGAGAAGAACAATCCACAACAGAGTATACAACACTAAGAAAAGAAAACTACTGTCCAATTCAGTGTAACAGGGTTATTGGGGCTTTACCTGATCATAGTTAAGTTTTTCTTCTGAATTATCTAATGCTGCAATTGTCCCAACTGGTTGACCACGAAAGTTTACTAATGTACGCCTCAGAGCATCCCAAGCTTCAGCAATCATCGGATGTGGCTCAAGTCCAAATTGTGATCTAGGGGTATTAAAGCCTGACCTTTTACCCGGGGAGAGCACATCAAAGTGGTCAAAAACTCTGTAAAAGTTGTCTGATCTAGAAGGGGGATAAGGTGACAGTCCCACTGGTAATTCGGTGAGCGATCTTTCGTCAAATGATCTCTGTCTCTCCATATTTAAATGCCTTGGCCTACCTGGTAACCTCGAAAAATCATATTCTTCAAGTTCCGCAGAAGTACCCACACTACCATTTTGAGTCACATCCACAGAGAGCGTAGACATTCTTAAAGTCTTCAATTACCCAAACAATAAACGGAGTAATTCAATGGTAAATTGAGCATTCAAGAATCTGCATTCAAAATTCAACATACATCAAGAAATTAGCCCAATTTCTACGTAAACAATTTACATACTCAACAAAACTATTAAATCCCAGATAACACATAAAATGTCTGACATTGAACAGAGCATCAAAGACAAGAATCAAGAAAACATACAAGAACAAACTAAACACCAAGAACACACACAACCCAGATCGAGTGACGAGGGTATCAACTATCAAGGCATGCATGAATGAACACGAAACGAAACAAGAAAGACTAATTCATAAACTATTCAAAATATATCAGATTAACAAATTGCAATCACAAACTGGACAATCACAAGTTCACTTACAACAGCTTTGAGTGATAGAATAAACCAAGAAACAGAGATAAGTAGGAGAGAGCCCAAATTGATCTGGCAATGATGAGGTATATGTCGAAAGGTGGGGACCGATAAAACTAGGTGTAAGATTGGTAGATGATGACCGGTAGGTGGGTCACATCAGAGGATTCGACATGAGAGTGTAGCCCTATCGTCAATAAAGATTCACACACACACTCACACTCACACACACAGAGATATAAAATCACAGAAATGCAGAGACAATGAAAAGCTGAAACGCACTCACGGAGAGATCATGAGGAGAAGCTGAATGATTTTTGGTAGTGGGTGTGTGTCGTTTTATGGCACCTGAGAGTGTTCGATGATATGTTTAGGTGAAAATTGACGTGTGCGTGCGTGGAAAGGGCAGCGGCGAAGTGGAGTGACCCCGTGGGCTTGCGCTGTGCTGTGTGGGTGTGGGTGTTGGTGTTGGTTTTGGTGATGGTGACGAGAGAGAGAACCGAGTCCGTAACAACAATAAGGCAAATAGTTTGCAGGAATTCGTGTCCGTTTGTGCACGTGTACGTCTGTCAGATCCAATGGGGTCGGCGCTGTTTGGCTTTCTCTCTTTCCCTACTGGGACTCAAAGCTTGCCTAATCTTTCGGTCCAACTTGGAATTTTTTTTTTTAATAGAAAAATTTAAGTCACGGCTATTTTAGGTTATTATATTTTTAAAGAATTTTTTTTTTTTTTTTAAATTTTTCACTAATACCCATCGTCAGTGTATGTCAACATTGTCAAGTGGAGGTGGTAATGAAAAGGATTAATTATAATAGAGATTCTCAAAATATAAATTTTGTTTTATTTTAGTCTGTAATATTTTAACTATATAATTTTAGTATCTGAAATAATGAATATATTTTTATGTGGTCTATGAAGTAGAAAACATTCAAATTATTCACAATTTTTTTAGGGTTAATTGTAAATTATACCCTAAAAAAATTGTTCGATTCTCAATGCGCAATCTCAAATATCAAAAATTTTAATTTACACCTCAAGGATAGAAATTTATATCAATGTGTATTTCCAAAAATCTAAAATCTTAATTTGCACCTTCAAAAATGTAAATTTATATCAATATGCACCCCCAAAAATTAAAAATCTCATTTTGCACTTTCAAAGATAGAAATTTGTATCAATGTGCACTTAAAACTAACTATTGTCAGTTTGCTACCTAAAATTAAATTAATAAATTATACCTATATTCTTTCATGTTTGTCACTTAATCATTTGAATCTTTTCACATTTAGAGTATTAATCCTACATCTCATGACATTTGTGCACGTGTAACACGTAATTTATTTTAGTTGATATCTGTTACTATAACTGTTAAAAAATATAATTTATCCTAATAAAAAATTATAATTTCATATTACCTTTATTTTATGAAGAGGTTCAAATGATTACGTGACAAGTATGAGGGGATCTAAGTATAATTTATCAATTTAGTTTCAGACAGCAAATTAACGGTAGTTAGTTTTAGGTACACATTGATACAAATTTCTATCTTTGAGGGTGCAAATTGAGATTTTTGATATTTGAGGGTACACATTGATATAATTTTTTATCTTTGAGGGTGTAAATTGAAATTCGAATAATCATTTGGGGTGTAATTTATAATTAACTCATTCTTTTTTATCATAAACTTATCATGTAATGCCTAAATATAGACAAAAAATAATTTGAGTAATTTTTGACCAAATTGGAGTAAATCTTGACTAAAAAAATGTGTAATTTGAGTAGCTTTAAACCAAAATTTGGATACTTCATGATCAAAATTGTGTAATTTAGGTAACTCTTTGACTAAAATTTGGATAAAAACATCACTAACCATTGGGCAAAAATAGTTCTACAATTTAAGAAAATTAAAATTTTTGTTAATTTTTTTTCCATCAAATATGCAAAAATTAACAAACAAAATAAATATATATTATACATAAATATATATGTTCATTTATAAATTCGTATCGAACACTAATCAACTCTAACCCAAGCTATTTAATTAATTTTGTCGTATCAATCAATTATCTATTTATTTTTCATATCGTGTTCGTATTGATCCATATAATTTGTGAATCAAAGTTTTAATGCTAAAATTGAAGTTTAAAATATTATTATTTCTTAATCGAATTACGCTCATATGTTTTCATAAATTAAAAATTAATGATAAATATATAAAAAATTATTTGAATGTGTGATAGTGGACTTGAAATTTGTTATTTACAAAATTTCTATTGTCAATGATTATACTAACAAAAATTTAAGTATTATTTTTCTATTATATTTAATTACTAGTTATTGTTTGTGCTTGAAGGGATAAAATAATAAAAAATAAATATATTTGTATTCATATCCAAAATTAAATTACAAACATAAAAAAGAGATAAATGAATTTAAGCATCGGTTGTAGTGGGGGTGAGAGGTGGTGGTTGTCGGAGACGAAGATAGTTGTGGTGGGTGACAATGACTGTGGTGGCAACGTGATGGCGGTGGCGTTGACGTCGACGACAGTGGTGGTGGTGGTAGAAGTAGTGGTGGGACGGTTTTAAACATTATTTATTTAAAAATATTTATGAAAAATAATTTCTAGAAATACTTTTAAAAAGTCACTTCAAACGCACCCTTAAGTGCCTATTTTTTCTATTAAATTTAGGGTGCTAATATTAGTCGTTAGATTAACTTTAAAGTAAAATTTAAAACGATCTCAACCGCGAAAAAGAAAATTCATTTTGTTTATTTTTGAAATTTGAATTATAAACTATTTTATTATATAGATTAGATTTTTTTCGTATAAAAGAATAGACTTAATTACCGGACTATATTAATCCGCTTAAATTTGGTATTTGATAGCCCCCACCACCATGCGATTATAAATGATGTCAATAGTTTCAAATATCCAAGTAGCCAGAAGGCACTGATCAGCACATTCCAGTTCAACTGCTCTTAGCTGTAATCTTTAGCTTTCTTGGACCACAGCAGAAAACATGGGTTGGCTACTACTGGCTACTCCCAATAGATTTTTCCGCTGCTTTGCAAGTATATGGAAAGCCCCAAAATACTTTTTTTTTTATTAACAAACATAAATTCATCACACAAATATAACTACTCACTTAACCTCAATGCAAGAAAAACTCGTTTTTGAATGTCTCGTCGATCTCTAAGGGAGATCGCCATGGGGCATGGCGCCTTGATCTTGCATGTATCTAATTCTCTTTCGGTCTCCACATATAAAATATATTTATGTAACAGTTTACAACTTTTTACATACACCTTGTGGGTAAAAGCTAATAATTCACCAAAGTAATACGGCTTTCTTCTCGTTATTTCCACATGATCAGTAAACAAAACGTAACAACACTACATACAAGAGTTCTAATTATGTGCAAACCACTTGGAGTGGAAAGAGGATTGGTAAGAAACCAATACCAGAACCACCACCAGCAGTACAGCAACACCCCAGGCGGAGCCCCCGGTTCGATGAAGTGAGTCTTGTTGCCTAGGGTGTGAAGACCAGAAGTTGAACAACATCCCACCATTGAAGCAAAAACTCATGAAGACCATCAACATAATGGGCACCAAAAAGAGGGAGAGTTGGAAGTTGATCATAGAATGTTGCAACTGCTGCTTGTAGCCTGTGTACTGAGAGAGTGACAGCAAGAAAATTACGATGGCCAAAATGGCAAGCAATGGAAGTGGTGGCGCAGAGACGGAGGCCATGGTCCGCCGTGTCCACCCTTGTTTCCATTCTGGCCCCCTCCTCTTGGGGTATAACCACTCCATCTCTCTCTCTCTCTCTCTCTAGTTGTGCATGAATGGTCTATATAATTCAGTGAAAGGTGTTACATATATATAAGGGTTGATGAGGTGTGGTTGCTTTACAGTTGAGGGTGGCTTTGGCATATATGCTTTGAGTATGGATTCTCCCTAACTTGCTTTAACATTTGGACTAATGCGCACTCAAAGCAGGAGATTCCACATTACTATATTTAAAATCATATGACAATTATTGAGAATATTAGTTGTTAAGTTTGTTCATCTTTGACGAAGGACTGTTTGATAAATATACAAAAATTGTTAAAACAATACTTCTCTTGTTTATATTAGTAACTAACATAGGAGGGATGTTTTTATGTAATAGCAATACAATAACTATTTTTATAGTTACCATCTGAACTGGTAGTCTAGTGATAAACTATACCCAGTTATAAACTATACCTATTTAAAATTGTTTTTGACTTTCATATGGTTATCAAACAAAGTTCAATTTACGAGAATAATACAATTTGTTACTTGACTTTTATGGTACTAAAATGACGGGTCAGTTGTCCTTCTGACTTAGTAACTATAACTTCAATCGGACATTACAAAGTAAGAGAACTCCTGTGATCATGTTTCGAAGAGAATTATTACATATTGGTCGTCCCTTATCATGTGGATATATCATAATTGTTTGCCGTCTTTGTTAAAAATTTACCTTCCATTTTGCCATAATAATTCTAGATTATTATAACAAACAGATTAGTTATAAAAAAGTTTAGGACATTCCCTCCTGTTTTTTTTCCCCATAATTTTACTTTTGTTAAACAAAAATACAAAATATTCTCATCACGCATCCAACTCCAACATCTGTCATATCCCCGTACATTCTGAATCAGATTTAGCCCCTGATTTTGTCTTTGTTTAGAAGGAAAAAAAATCTTATTGAGATCACATTAGCCTCTGATTCTTCTCGTAAGATTTCCATTGTGACAAAATCCGAGTTCGATGTCCGAGTCCAAGAAAGATCATATGTTAAAAGTTCATCTATATATAAAAAGACTATGATTTAAACCCATAACATCTACATTATAATAGACCAACTTTACTATCGCACCAAGAACCAGCCTCCAGTCATGGCAGCGCTAGCTCTCCAAAAATTGGCACACAATACAAGTGAAAATTAGGCAAACCCTATCAATATGATCCCATGCTACTACTCCACCCTCACCCGCGGGGTAAAAATGAGCCCACGGCTAAAGGTGTTACTCAAAATGAGTTATTCAGATTTGACCCGGGTTCGACTAAGATAAAACTCGACTCATATTTTAAACAAATTGAGCTTGAACAATTTTGAAGCTCGTTTTTTTAAACGAGCTTAAAAGACTCGCTCAAGCTTACAAAATTCGACTCATTTATATATAAAATAGTCGAACTACTCAAACTCAAACTCAACTCGGGTTTACCTTGGGCTCGGGCTCGGGCTTGACCTCGAGTTTCAAATAAGTCGAACTTGAACAATTTTTTAAACTCGTTTAAACAAACAAGCTCGCAAAGCTCAGGGTCTCGCAAAACTCGACTTGATAAACAACTCTGCCGTGGCAGTGGCATTCAGCAAAACGACATGATTATGTGACATGACAAAACTATATCCAATAATTCCCATGCACACTCCTGGTCTAGATGCCTTCCAACTGCATCAAATATCAAATCTGACAAAAGAGAATGACATGATGCAACATGGGGACTAGTTATTCACGCAAACAAAGAAATAACACAGTAGATCAGGGATACTTTTCACAATTAAAGCATCGAGCACTGCCATTGTAGAGAATACTTACAACAAACAGGCTTTGTAAACATTTTCTTCCTTGCGACCAGCAATCTAAGACAGACAGAGTCGTCACATTTAACCCTGTCTCAAAATGATAGCATTTGTACATCATCACAGGCTTTGTAAACATTTTCTTCCTTGCGACCAGCAATCTAAGACAGACAGAGTCGTCACATTTAACCCTGTCTCAAAATGATAGCATTTGTACATCATCAAGCACATCTCCTACCCGGTAAATGAAGGCAACAGAGCATGAACTTTAAAAAATATCAGTGAAGCCTTCCAAGAGGGAATGACAGAGGACCCGAACTTAGTAGCCTCTTACAGCAGCACCAGTATCCTGTTTGTGCAATTTGGATGCATCTGTTCAGAGGTAAACCAAAAACAAATAGACTTAGCGACTGACTTCAAGATATCAAAATGAAAAACAGGCATAATCATCCATGAGAGCATAGCAGAAATGATAAAAAGATGTATAAAATATGAACAACCTGACACAATTGTTTTCCTCAATCATCAGCCTTCATGCCAGCAACTATACTATTTGATGAGCTGGCCTGTACACTACGAGATGAAGAGCACCTGCTTGAAGAACCCCCATCTGTAGTGCCATTTTCCTTCCTTGATAATTTCTTGGATCTTTTTTGTCCAGATGACGAAATCTGCAATCAGGTTATATTAGTTCCACTAGGTCATGAATCTCATGATCTTGCGACATTCTCTAACATTTGAAAACTTCCCTTCTACTATGCAATTTATGCAGCTACAACTGACCTGATCTACTGTAGACCCAGGCGTCTTTAGCTCCAAGTCTGTCGCCACCTCATCAGAATCTTCACTTTTTCCTATCTTGCTCTCCACTTGATCTGATAATTTATTTCGTGAATCTTGTTGGCTTGAAACCTCAGACCTCCTTCCTGGCTGCATTACTGGGGATACATATGGGGTGGACTGTTGTTCTGTTAGCGTATGAGGAGTTAGATATGGAACAAAAGTTGAACTAGGGCTGGGAACCATTGCAGGATTTTGATTTCCAAAGTAAGGATATGGCTGCAAAGATGGATGCAAGGGAATCGTTCCAGGAGGAATGGGCATGGGCAATGGGAAGGGAAAAGAAGGCGGCTGCATGACAACTGAATGTTCCATACCAGCCCATGGAAACATAGCCCTCAATCTCTGCTGATACTGAAGATTAAGGTTCTCAATATCATTTTTGAGGGATGACTTCTCTTCTCTCAGATCATTCTTCTCCTGACTCAACTGCTTTCAAAATAACAGCAACTGAAGAGAGACTATGGCAAATTAGCAGTACTATATAAGATAATATTTGAGAAAAAATACCTCACGAGATTCTTCAGTCAGTGAAGTGCACTCAGATTTTAGTCTGTTGACTTCAGCAGTCAAATCCTTCAGTATTTGGATCGTATCAGTGAGAATGGATGCTTTGTCATTTTTAGGCCTATCAGGATCTGCATTCAATGCTTCTGCATAATTACTCAAATTTCCAGCATTCAAAAGCAAAGTACTAGAGTCTTATGTGAGTACAAGGTGAAGGACATTGAGAAAAAATTTCCAAGAATTGGTCCAAGACTCCAAATATCTAAACTCTGATGGTTGGGATTATAGTGCCAATAACAGCCATAAAATTAATCAGCCAGATGCTTGTTGATCGTCAGATAAGTTCACTATAAAATTTTCTTCCTCCAAGCTCCAAGTGATTCCTTTAAAATGCAACTGGGTTATCAAGAACAGTTCACAAGAAACATCTTAAAGGTTCTGGAACCTCTTTGCGTTTTTTGATAGTTTTTTTTTTTCGCTAGTCGGATCTTCTTTTGCTTAATCAGAGGTACTGAACTGCAAAAGGCATGTTAAAACTTAAAACAGCATAACTGAAACTTTATAATGCTGTTTACATTGTCAAAGCATTCTTCAGAGCAACCTGTTGATTTTAGATTAAAAATTACCAAAAGAAGATAAATGAGTAGAAGGAAAAAAGTAAAGCAAGAGAATTGTGTGAAAGGTCAGGCCTGGCACTTCTTCAACTAGGATCCAGAGTCAAGAGTAATATACTTTCTAGCCTGAAAAGAATTAACACTTGGAAAAGAACAATTTAGGGACACAACTTGCACCATGTCTTTTTATATATAAAAAGACACATGCAGTTTGCTCAAGACAAGAAAATAAATACTCTCTTTATGGAATTTTTAATAGTCTAGAACATAAAATGGAATAGTAGCCACAGATCTTGGAACCAAGATCTTGGAAAAGAAAAAGGCAGCTTTGTTAATGAGAAGCAAGACTGAACACTGTTTATGTATTCAAACAGGGATCCCTTGTTATGTTCAACTAAAAAACAGAAGATTGTGTCCTTTATACATTTGCATCTTTGTATTTGTGAATATGAAGTTTTTAACAGCAGAATACAAAGAGGATTTTTCTGTTTAACCACAATAAAATATAAAAGACATGCCAAATACCAAGCGCGTTTCCCAACTCTGTAAACTGCTCGTTGAGACGATCCCTCCTCAATTTTTCACGATCAGCCTTCTGAACTTTGCGTGCAGCAATAGAATGCGTTACTTCTGATTCCAGCCTTTGATCAGCAATTAAATAAAGTGATCAGAATAGGAGCAGGCAGAGGAAGAAGATGTGAAGAGTAGATTGATGAGAGTATTGGCAGAAAAAAATGTACTACAAAAATATCATATGAACTGATTAATTCATGTAATCTTAAATAGACAGGTTCACATCTCAGAGATCATATGCGTTGGACCTGCTTCTCCATGCTACTACTACCAACATTTATGACATGACATACCATGTGGCATGAATCCATTCCCCTGTGGAAAGTTGAAACAGGGATTATAATGTATTTTCTGATGATATGGAACCCTTTGCCTATAAATTGATGAATCCCAAGGTTCAGATGCTTTGGTTTTCTATGGCAACGATTGCAAAGGCTCGTGAATAAGCTTTGTAGCAGCAAAATATTGTATATGGATATTTACATATGCAATGGTAGTTAAATGATTTCTTGGGAATCCCATATATTGGTAGCAGAAATGGGAAATGCTACCAGATTTAGATATAAAAGAACTCACTTGATTTTTCAAACTGACAGCAGCTTTGGTTTTGGCCGACTTTAAAAGTTTTTCTGACAGAGCTTTCAAAATAGCCCAATATCAATTTAAAACCATCTCCATTACATTCTTATATGTGCAAATTGATCGAAATGCTAAAAGCTGCACCAGACACTATTCAACTCCACAAGGTACATATAAATTCCCACAGAGATACTTGTCACAAGAAGATAATGAGACAAAACGGGATGAAGTTATCCTTGAATAGCCAAGTAGTTAGACAAAGAAGTGGTGGGTTAACTGGTTTAACACGACAACTGTGAATAAGCCTAAGCTTTCTAATGTGTTAACACTATAGAATTTACCAGGTATATATGAGGACTACCAAACTGAATAGAGCATATGAATTGGGTCAAGGGTTACCAAGTTAATTGCAAGTTCATATTGTAGACACTATGAATTCATAAAGCTCCACTTGTCTAGTTTCACCACATCCCTATATTTCACGTCAGCCTTATTCCTATTTAATCTTTACTGTTGAAGATGTTTTTTCCCTAGTACTAGGTCAGCCACAATTTCAAGACTATGCAAACAGTTAATGGATGACATCTTCATTGATGGCATCCTTGAAAACTTGATATCAAGAAGGTTTCTCTGCGATAATTAACAGTGAAGGTGCATTTACAGAGGCTGTTGAAATGTTGCTTAAGGGAACTCAGGTACGATGATGGATAAGCTTGAATGAACGTTTTGAATGTGAAATCCACATCCCTAGGTTTCGTTTAGCATGCTTAGTAGTTTAAATTCAGAATATGAATTTTTTAAATAAATGTGAAATTTCTCAAAACACTTGCTGTCAGCAGGCTGGCCAACCAAAAGGAAAGAAGGGTGATGTTTTGGTGATCATTGTATCAAGCCTCCACTTGTTGACAACAGGATTTTGCCGTTTAATTTCAAGATGTGGCATGTGAAGAAGTAATACTGATGTATAAGAAGAGTAAATGTAGAGCTATGGACTCTTTCTAGCTACTGTTGTATTAAGATAGTAAGATTATGAGGCTCCCCTGGTTTTTCCATGGGTTGTGAAATGAACCAACTACTCAAACTCAGCTCGAGTCAGCTTCTCAGAGGCCTGTTTGAGATCGGATTGTGTGGTAAATGAGCTAAACTTGATCACATTTTAAGGATAATTTTTTTTTTCCCCATCTGTTTCACCTCATTAGCCAATTATCATCAAAGAATACAGTACTTGAGACAAACAAAGGCTCATTCGAGATTAGCTCTTAAAATAAAAGAGGGAAGCTTGAACTTCTAAAAATATCGAACCAAGCTTGACTAACGTACTATTCAACTCGACTTGGCACATTTAACCCCAATTATATCCCTTTTTAGTGATATGGATACTTCTCTTGGGACACGGGTGACCCTCAATTACACAGAACGAAGTACCTAAGCATGAAGTAGATGTTCCCACAAAGTTCTTTCAAGCTTCTCCAGTGTCAAAGGGCCTGTTTACAACCTTCAGAAAATTACTCAGATCGGACCAGCCCTTGCAGGTAGAGGTAAGCCGCCTGCACAAAATCTCTTACAGAATTCTTCAAACTCCTTCCTAGTTGTTGGAAACTTTTTCTAAACCCTTAATTTAACTTCATAAACCTTCTTGATACATAATAATCTCTCGTCTTCCAAGAATATCTTTCACAACTTATTGTTTCCAAGACTACGATTTCCATAGCTTTTAAACCCTCTTCTAAAGTAAAAATTTATTCAGAAACTGCTTAACCAAATCTACATTAGCTCCAATTACTCCTTCACAGTGAAGAACTCAAACATACAACACATTATGTTTAAGAACACACACAAAAAACTGAAATTTAATTGAAAGGGGATGAGGCGAACCTGGAATCGGAATGCAATCGATCGGAGGGCACGCGCATATCAGGCAGATTTGGGGGTTGAACGGATTGACAGAAAGCGTCGTGATTCAATTGCTCCATTGCTGCATTTGATTTGTAACAGTAGCAATCCAACGCTAATTTGATTTTCCTCCGAGGCTTCGACTGTGTTCTTAATCTGTGTTTCCTCCGACCAAAGAGTTCGGTGCTTATTTGCGCTTCCCAGGCCTTTCGTCGCAACTTTCTCTGATTTATCCGCTATCCGATTTGTGCCAAAATTTCTGAAAATTCAAGAAAAGGATCTCAATTTTATTCTATTAACACATTAGACCGTGCATATTCCCAGGAAAATAAAATTACAATAATACCCCTGTCATATATCTAATTTCCAACAAACTCTATGCTCAGAAAATATATTAAATAAATATAAGGTTATTCGAAAAGTTTGCTCACCTATGGTACGAAAGAGGTTTAGATTTAAAATTTTGATCGAAGGTTATAAGGAATGTGATTTTTTTTTCTAATAGATTTCAAAAGAAAAGTTTAAAAATATTTGTAATCTATTATTAATTTAGTGAGCATAAGAGTCATTTCATCCAAAAATTAAACACAGCCGATAAAAAAATTTAATTGCTAAAATTTTAGAATTTATGGGTTATTTTTTTTTTTTTAAAAATAGACAGAATTACACTTTTTACATCAAAATATTTTAAAAATTTTAATTTATACTCTTAAAATTATTTTTCTCACTTTTACGCTAAGTTTTGTTGCTATGTTTGTCAATTTTTACTGCACGTAACACATGAATTTGATGAAAACAATAACAAAAGTCAATTTAAGGGTCATGTTATAATTATTTTATGATATTAAAGATAAAAAATAAAAAAATTTAATTTTTAAGGGTGTAAAATTAAAATTTTATAAAATATTGTGGGCGTTCAAAATATCATTAGCCCTAAATAATAACAAAAAAAAAAAAAAAAGAACGGCAAGAACGCAAAAACGAAACATAACCTCCTTTGACTTCACTGGCCTGAGCTCTCGATAGCGTCAATCTCTCTCTGCCTTCGCAAAAAATGGCGATTAGGGTTTTCTTCGTTATCGCTCTCCTCCTCTTTGCCTCTCCTCTCCTCCAAGGTTCGTATCTCAGATCTAGATCCATTTCTACTCTCTCGCTTGCTCAATTTTTTCCATCTACAAATACACGCGAATGGACATTTAGTATTCTTAGATATTTTTCCTTTTTTAAGGTTTATTGTTGGAATTTGAGAGTTTATGTATGTGATGATGGTGTTGATCTGTCGAATATAGATTCAATTGTGTTTGTCTTGATTCGATTACATATGTTTTTAATCACTCTGCATGAATCAATGGCCCATTTGCTACTTTAGAATTATGATTAATTGATGCGTAATCTTCATTACGTAAGTTTCTGCTGTGCGCATGTTGTGTTATGTATTCGGATTACAATTTTGTTCATGCATGTTTAGAAGATGTGTTATAATTCGATTTGTTTGGGTTTGAAAATATTGGTGGATGTTATGAATCACTGGTTGATTACTTGATAGGCTTGCAAAAAACGAGTGTTGGATTTTTAAAAGTAGTTGTTTTCCCTTAAAAAATAAAGTCAAACCAAGCAATTGGAGACTCTTAGAAAGGGTACTTTTCACTTGCAAAAGTAAAGTGCTCTTTGTTGCCATCAAATCTTTGACATAATCTAGTTGGAACCTTTGATTTCTTCGATTCAGTTGTTTGACTTGGTGGTTTTTATTGTCATGGGGGGTTTATCATTCTATTCAGAAAGACTGCGCAGCCATTTCTCATTGTTTTCATTTGAAAACATCATCAATATTGTTGCATGCAACTGTCAATCAGAATTCATGATATAAGTGTGTGCAGTTTAATTATTAATTTAATGTTGTGTTGCTTGATAGTTGCTAGGTGTCAATCAGACTTGGACGCAGAAGTTGTTGAAGCGTCTGAAGAAGGAAGTGATCTTGGGATCATTGGTGAAGATGTGCAGGATATCGGTGGTGGCAGCTTTAGTCCAGCTCCAGGAGTAGAAACAGTTTGTGTTTTCCCAAAAAACCCTTCAAGAAGTTAGTGTCTGTGATGTCTGTTTATTCCATTGCTTTCTAATTTGTAAAGTTTACCTTTGGAAATTTTTGTACTTTCTATAATGTTGTCTCCTTTCTTTTTGCAGTAGTGACAGCAGGTGAAGAGTCTGAACTTTTAGTTGGAATGAAAAACGAGGGTAATGTTTTGCTATGGTGTTATTGTGTCTATATATTGATTTACAATGTTGGTTCTAGGATAAGTTACCTTGTTGGTACGGATTTATTGATTGACCTTTGTTTGACACTTGGATTCCTAGGAAAGTTTTAAGATTGCTTCTTATTGTGTTACCATTATGTTGTTCTGCCATTGTTTCTCAAAGCCTTCATTTGAAGTGCTATTGTGTATTTAGAGAACTGATCCAGCAGAGCGTATCTAACACGTGATGTTTGCTGATAAAAAACAGGGGAATCAAGTATTGATATCATTGCAATCCAGGCCAGTGTTCATCTTGCTTATGACCATAATTACTTGGTTCAAAATCTTTCTGCACAGGTAATTATTTATTTATTTGCTCTGCTTGGATGGTTCTCTCAGTTTTTAATCTTATGGATGGTAGCATATTAGAATTGCTGACATCTAGCTTTCCTTCCCTTGTTTCTTACTTTTTTATAAATTCATATCTGGAGGTTGTGTGGTTGCTCAACATTCTTTGTCAATGGGTGGACAACCACCCATTAAACCTTTGTAAGCTATGGGTTCAGCTAGTATATGATATGGGGTACACTATTTGGTGATCATGAGTGGTTATTTGACTTGTTGCTTCATGGGATTCAATTATGATGCCAGAACTCCTAAAGTGTTTCATGGGATGTATTAGACTGCTTTTCCTTTTATTTATCTGAATTCATCCTCAAAGTGTATTAAGCTTTCAACAGTTGCTTGAATTAATATCATTGATTGCAGTTTTGGTCTTTGTTTCCAAATATTGCCTCACATACAATCTGTGTTTTCTGTATTTGACAATTAGCTGTAGGCATATCATACATAATTCAATATCTAAAATCCAGAATGTCATGATAAAACACAAAATAAATAAATGGTCAAACATTTTCCAGTCTCAACTGGATGCATACTTTATGTATTAGGAGGAATAATACCGAGGGTCCTTGTAACATAGGGATAATCCTGAGTTATCTGTCATCCAGTTGGCATTTGTTCAATGTCTCAGAAGAAGTTGCTTGGTTAGAACCTCTGAACATATCCAGATGGGAAAAAAAATTAAAATTGGTGCCTGGTCATTGTTGGATTTTTTGTGCCTTAAATTCAGATGACATAAAGGCACATATAATGATATACACTTTCAGATATGAAAACGTGTCCTTCCCATATTCGTATCAGCTTGTTTAGCATCATATTGATTCTTGCAACAATACCATTATTATCCAGTATTCTGATTTTCACATTCTCTTCCTGTTAAATTCTGGAAAACTGGCATTAGATTCATGATTAGGATTTTGATCCTTTGTAGTTGCTTTTACTCTTTGGGTGTTGATTATATATCTTTCTCTCTCAGGTTTTTAGCTCGTTTAACTTTGTTTAACATCTAAATTTCATTTGTGTGGCCTCACTTTCAGCATGTTGTTGGTGTTGTTGTTCATCCCCCCGCCCTCAGCACACACAAAACAATTTCATTTCATTATCATTATGATGTGCATTTACTGGTTTGTCACTAATGAGTAAGTGTTTGTGCCTTTTAGGCTTTTAACAATGCATCAGTTCCTCCTTCGGCTCAGGCTACCTTTCCATATATATTTGCTGTCAGCAAATTTCTGCAGGTAATATTCATTTTGTTGTAGAAGTTCATGCTGCTGTATTATTTTCTTTGGTACGATGATTTACTCCTGCTACTTTCAAATGCCCAAAATTATTGCATGAGCTCAAACACTTGCTGTAATTCATTGTCATGCAGGCTGGAACATTTGATCTTGTGGGTACAATTGTTTATGAGATAGACCAGCACCCCTATCAAAGTACATTTTACAATGGTACATTTGAAGTTGTTGAAGCTGGTGGCTTTCTCAGTGTTGAATCTGTTTTCTTGTTTTTCCTTGGAATTGGTCTTCTTGGGCTTCTTGGATTGTGGATACGTGGTCAGATACAACAACTTGCCAAGGTATTTATGTAACTTCCTGTTTTTGATATCTATTATGCACATAAATAATCTGATAGTCTTTATTATACTGTCATGGCCAAGTTATCCTGGGCAAATAAAAAACAGTCACGTGTATGTTTGAATATTCACTTTTCAAGGACATATTACTTTTGATAAGAATTTTTAGAAGGAAATGTGGATGTTGGAAGGAAAAAAATCCCCACTTCTTTTGAGGTTGACTGACGGGGTAGAGGTTGTTTTGGATTTTTAAAATCGCCTTGAATCTGATCTATATTAAAGAAGGCTTTTTCTTGAACAATGGTTCTCTGCAAATTTCATGATATATTTTTCCTTTGACAATATAGGGTTGCATGGTACCCATGGTCACGGTTCAAAGTATTGGCCACCTCCGATACGATACTGGTACCCGTTACACAAATATTAGGAGTTGCACCTGAATCAGTCATGACTCGGATGAATGAGCCTAACTCAAAGTCAAATCGTTTGACTCGGTCGATTCATATTGGAATTGTTCCGATATGGTGAAATCTCCTCCAAAATCTTAGAAAACGTGCAAAAACCAAAGAAAAAAAGAAAAGGGGGAAAAAGCCCACAAAAAAACCCTAATCATGGAAATTAAGTTTGAAGTAGTCTCAACTTGTATAGTTGTAGTGGTGATCTTGATCCCGCATTCACAGTGATCTAAACTTCAACTCGAACCTCTAATCTCATTAATCTTTGTAACTTCCTCCTCCCTCATGTAGACGAAACATCTACGTCTCAGACCCTACTAAAAGGAAGAGGCAAAAGACTCTGTCTTTATTTCTATGGGTAACTAGATTAGCCAACAAATTGTCGGTGCTTAATACCTTTTTTTTTGGTTCCATGCTGCTCACTGCATAAAAGTTTAATGACTATCCCCTTGTTTTTGTTTTTTTTTTTTTTTTTAATTTTTTTGGTCATCTTAAAAATATTGTCTCTAGAGTTTTTTAAATTATTGGGTAGGGTTTTTTGAGTACTTTTAGGTACATAAAAGACACTATAATTAGATATAGTTATATATTTACATTTGTTAATATTTTAAACTAAAAGATATTTTCGATAGCGCCCTTTTATGTCGTTTCACTATGTTTAATGTGTTTTAAATGTATTTTGGACGTATCATGCATGACTATTGTTGTTTATAATTTTCTAGAACTTTTCATAATATTTTCAGTTATTTTTGGCCTTTTTATCTAGTTTTTTTGGCATATCAATACTCTTTGAGTCGATGGTTGATATTGCGGCTTTAAGCCATGGTTGTGGATTTAGAGGAGGGTTGTTTTTCACTTGTATTCTACATTTCGCCAATGATCAATATTTCATTTCAGGGCATTGTTTTAGTCAGTTAGGGAATGAAAATATTTCGAAAATGTTTTGAAGACAGAATAGAACAGATAAAAAAATTTGAGAATTTATTTCTAAAACATTGGTCAAAATATACAGAAATATCTTAAAATATATCGAAATATTCTAAAACATTAGTAGAAATATTTTGAATATGTCGAAACAACTCGAAGAGCCTGTTTGGTTTCCATCGCAAAAAATAGCGTTTGAAAACTTTTTTTGGGAAGAGTTTTAAAAAAGTAGTTTTGATTTTTTTATGTTACAGAATTTGTTTAGTTATATAATTCCAAAAATAGTTGTGCAGAACAAAAAATAAAAAACATGTTTAGATAGTAAGACAGGAAATAATGAAAACAGAGATACTGTTTGGATTGATTGTTTCATGGGAAAACATTTCAATATGTTAAACTTGATAATAACTAGTGTAATTATGACCCATTTTTTGGGTCATCTGAACCTCCAATTTTTTTCAAATCTGTCCTATGATGTTTGTACAATTCGGTTTGTCCTTATCTATCTCAATTGTCAGGAGTTTAATAAATAACTCCTCAGCTCTCGGTGGCCATTGGGCCATTTTGTCACAGTCATTACCTTGTAATGACATCTAACAAACATCACAGGTTAACACCCTTTCATAACATACGCATAGCCATTGTATTTTATCAGCTAATATACATTGTGATATAGAAAAAACAATGACCAAAAAATATCATGTTAAATATTGGCTAATATAAATTAAGAATATTTTTAGATCCTAAGGAGCCATTTTTAATAATTGTAGTTGTATGCAAAAAGCGAACTTTAGATAAATTTCATAACAGACAATACAATTGCAGTCCTAATTCTTCCCCATAACAGAAATTTCATCGACAACTTCTGATTAAATTTCATATGCTAGTCCATATAGAATTGAAAATTTGCTAAATCGAGGTCGTTTTCGCCAATTGAGAATCGATTAAGGGTTGAAGCTTCTTGTTGAACAACCGAATTCTCAATGTGTGCACTTTCATGTTGAACACCCAGATTTGCTCCTCTACAACCCTTCGTTGAGCTATTAGCAGCCAAATTTACTCTTTTTTTCCTCTACGTCTCCATAAACACATATCTATATAGAGATGAGGAAGTCAGACATAGTGAGAAAGACAGAGTGTAACAGAGAGATGAGGAAGAGGCAGATTTGTTGTAATTACGAAAAAAATTGAGATCTACCAGATTTGGGGTTAGCTAAGTCACTGGAGTACACCTTCACTTCGCCGGAGTTACACCTTGTCTTTGCCGAAGGACTCTTGCACCAAATCTGAAAGATCCACAATTATAATGGTAGATCTAAAAACATTTTTGAAATACAGCAAACCCAAACAAAATCAAAGAAGAAAAGGTATAAAATTAGTAGATCTAAGGCTTACATAGTCGTTAGAGCTATAGTTCTCACTGGACGCAAGTCATTCTTCGGGTCGACGGTGAGTGTGAGAGAGCTGGAGAGTTCAAGTGTCTGGCTTGACGGAAAAAAAGGGGGGGGGGGGCTTTTATATGAGGGATTTTTAACGAACAGTAATTTTGTGGAGGTTTATCTCCGTGTTTACACTTTTCTCAAAAATTTGACTGGAAAACAACTTCATCGTGTTTTATATTATTTGTTCTTTGTATCTCTGTTTTTCTGAAAATTAGAAAACAAAAACTCAAACCAAACAACTTCTCATTGTTTTTAGAATTTTAAGAACAAAAAACTGTTTTCAAGAACCAAATCAAACAACTGAAATTTCTATTCAATCGCGGATCCGTTTTGACCTCCTTGGAAACTTAAGGCCATGTTTGGTTTGTGATCCGGAAATACTTTTTTGTTTTCAAAATTTCAAAAACACCTAAAATTTGTTTGTTTATCATTTTTGTTCTCAAAATTTTGAAAAAAAATGAGATTTGAGTTAAAGAAACAGAAAACAAGTGTAGCTCGTTTTCAGAGTTTTTTTTGAAAATTTTGGAAACAAGGAGAACAATATTGGATTTTAATGAGGTCTGCCCTTCAAGTCCCTGTAGCAGCAAATTTCTTCGTTCATTTTTTTTTCTTCTTTCTCTCTCTCTCTAGACGTCTTCTTCAGATCTGAAGGCGCTGGATCTCCAAATATGGGTATATATATATATTGTGTGTATTGTATATATATATATATATATATGTGTATGAGGGGTATATTTATATATTTTAAAGTTTGGTTTATTGAGTTTTTTTTTTATTTTTTATGAAATTGTCAATCTAAAAATAACTTTCTTATATTTTTTTATTAATGTTTGAATTACTGTTCAAACATATATTTAGGCTGTCCAAACAGGTTTTACTATTTTCTGTGCTAGAAAATTGTTTTTGAAATCATCTAACCAAATAAGTTTTTTTATCTCAAAAAAAATCAAAATTACTTTTTTAAAACTCTTCTCAAAAACTGTTTTCGAATACTATTTTTTGAAACGCAAACCAAACATGCCCCAAGTGTTTCGGCTGTTTTGGCCATTTCAAAACAAAATTTTGATCTTTGCTTTGCACATCTATTCTACCGTCTCTTCAAAATCCCTCCAGGGTGTTTATTTATTTATTTTTTTCTTGGGGGGGGGGGGATTGGATGGATGTGTTTGAATCCTCCTTCAATTGAATAGTAAATCTGTATTCATATATTCTTGTTCTAGGCTTGTAGCAGTGGAGCACATAAATAACTCAATTGTGTCAACCAGTTCTTTCTCCTGATCGTAGAACTGCTTTTAATGTTTCCTCCTCTGTATATATTGTTTTATACTAGAAAACTAAGAGGGCAACAAAGGTGGAAGTTGGAACTGGGACCACTGATGCCTCAATGGATGAATGGCTGCAGGTGTGTAGTCCAAGCCTTCATTAACAAATTATACCTCCCTATGTTGTTGTCATTGTTCTCTTACGTTTCACTTACTTTTTTGTCACTTTCTATTTTTTTTTCTTGTCTATGGAAAAGAATTTTGTATAGCATGTTTTTAAAAAATTTCTACTAATGTCTATTGGATTTAGTTACTACAGAAGAATAGTGGCTGATTAATATCACCCTCTCTTTTTTCCTTGTATTTTTTAATGACCAGGGAACTGCATATACTCAGTCATTGTCCAGCAAATCAAAGAAAAAGAAGTAGATGAACTTGCTCATTTAATTGAGCACAGCACAAAACACGGTAATGAGATGCAGATTCTTGTTAATCAGACTAGTGATCGAATGAATGTAAGAGATCCCAAAACGTGGACTAGTTTTTGGAAAATTGGACTTACTAGACCTGGTTCACGATTGTACGAGGGGGAAAAAATCTTTTGCATCCTAGACACTGAAACGTTTAGCCTTCTTAAGCAAAAACTGACAGTTTTGTTGTAGAAGCCAGACAATTTTGTTTAGTTTACTAGTTTCTTTTAGTGGATACTCATCTTGTTCTTTCAATTTTGATTGTTCTTGGCTTGTTCTGTGGATGAAATTGTGAACTGTAGAGTGTAGGGGCATGTTCATCATGTCATGCAGAAGATAACCAACAGGATTTTAAGTCTATTTTTTAGGCTGCAATTGGTTATAGCAGATTTTTAGCATAGCAAAGCAAAGCAAGGCCATGTGATTTAAGGCCTCAAAAGTTGAAGGTGATGTCCTTTTTCCGTTCTATTTGGTTTTGCCAAGAGCTGATTTTCCCACTTTTCTTTGATCCGTCTTAAGGCCGAGTGGCAGCCTCGACCCAAGCCAAAGGGTGATGTATCTGAAAGCTCGAGATCGGAAATAGATTTGAAAACTATTCCGATCGCCTCTTTCATGATCCTTAATGACTAAACCCGAGCAACTTAACCCATTAGTTTTGCCGACAGTGGGAACTCCCTATCCTTAAAATAACGGCAACCATTTGTGAAACATTCAAACTGCTATAACTCTCATTTGTTACGAAGAACAGATTCTATTTCAATGTAACCGATTTAATATGTGAACATGCAAACATAATGAGTGCTGGAGTACCGTCACCATCTGTTAAAAGCAACTATAAATCATATATATATATATGTGTGTGTGTGTGTGTGTATATTTTCTATTCAAATCATCACCCACTAAAGTTGCTTCATTATGTCAATGATTAATATCTTGGCCGACCTTCAAAGTTGGGGTTTCTTGAGGTGTCCGGATGGGGAGATACTATCCACATTTTTGCACACAAAAAGCATCATCACATGCTAATTAATGCTTAATGCTTTCAGTTTTTTAAGTAGGTGGAACCCTCACATGTGTTAACAATGCTACCCACGATACTTTTATGCATCACCTCAATATAGACTATTAGATTAGTAGGTTCAGCAGAATTTATTAAAAATACAATAACTTTGATTATGTCACATCAAATAGTGTAAAAAAGGTGTTACACAAAATTAATGTCCACAACATTATTCCATACACACACATGTATACCAGAGGTTCTGCATAGGACGAAAGAGGAAGATAGAGAGAGAGAGAGAGAGAGAGAGAGAACGGGACTGATATGAGTGGGCAGAGAGCAAGAGAGATAAACCTGTGATGACTATATAGACGGTTAAGTGCTTTTGAATAGGGAGTTATGAGTGGTTAAAGGGGAAGAAAACATGAGTATTATTTATATTTCATGTCTAGTGCACACTATACACTGTATGCGTTTTTGTGTGCGTAATAAGTTTTTTTTTTATCCCAACCTTCATTATGAGGAAAATAGTCATTAGACGACAAAATAATGAAAATTTAAGGAAATGAACATATTTAAGGAAAAATATCTCCATCCATCAAACAAATAACATTAGAGGGAGACGTTTATTTAGGAAAATTCAAATCGTTCCTAGGATTATGACCAATCTTTGCTAAACTCATTTCGTTGTCTATATGATTACCTTTGCTTAAAATTGATTATTGATCTTTAAGAAAAAGACAGTTCTTTCCATATAATGATGTGCCCCTACTTTGTTTTAGATAGAGGAACTTTTAAGCTAGTATTCCAAAATAAAATATATTTAAATTGGACTCTCAAAAATACACATAATGATGTTAGTTGGGTCGTATTCTATCATATTCAATTGAATTCTCAAATATATGCACATCAGTGTTAGTTGAGTCATCCCCGTTTCACATATACACAGTGCTATACAATTATCTATACTATTTATAAATATAGCATCTGTAAAAAAACTTTTGATTTCTCATTTTATCTTTAATTATTATAATAAAGTCAATTATACCCACTAATGTGACTTTCAATATCTTAGACTCTTTTATTAAAGATTTTATAATTATTTTGAACTCATTTATTAGTAGTACACTTACATATAATTTTTTATATCTATATCTATATGAAGAAATAAAGTCCTATCTATATTAAATTATTGTCCCCATGTAATTACCATAGTAAATTTCATGGTCAGATATATATTATATTTGATTTTTTAGTATGCAATAACATAATAATCGATCTAATCAATATTTAACAAAAAAAATTAATAATTTTATAATATTATTTGATTTGCAAATACCTAAAGGAGCCGAAAAGATACTTAAATAAATAATAGATTAGATACTTAAAGACTTATGAAATAAATCAACCATTCAATTTAGCAATAATTAAAATATGAATTAATTTTTCAACACTTAATTTATTATTTAATTTAATTACACCTATAATTCACATTTTCTATACAAATAAATTACTTAACTTGCTCACGTGGAAGCACTGCTAGTATCATTTAAATATGCAATTATCAAATTATGGACCAATGCGCCAAATTTAGTTGGCAGCTAAAAGAGGGTTCACGTGAAGGTTAAATGGATTCTCAATCACTTTTAGATGTCTCAATTTATGTATACATTTCCTTTTTTCTTTTTACGATTAAGGTTGTTTACACCACCTTACGCACATTCCGATTAATTCTCATCCACGTTGGGACGAAAGTATTCATGAAAAATAAATTTTCATAATTTAATATCAAGAAATTGTCGATATTCAATTTTAAAATATTTAAATTTATAGTTCATTTTTATTTTTACTTGAACCTTCGACTGGGTCCTATGTACATTTCCTTTCAAACTGCCAACTGTGATGTACCAAATCTCAATTACTTAAACTTGAGTGCCATTTTGCAGTGTCGCTAAAACCATGATATTCCAGCAAATTTAAATCACATATATTTTATAAAAGCAAGTTATTAATGAGGGATGGTTAGTAGGTATAGAGGTAGAGAGAGCACAAGCAAGACAGAGAAGGTGTACAGTTGAAAGGTCATTCAATGAAGATAATGGCGCCTTTGTGAGAACTCTCTCTCTCTCTCTCTCTCTCTCTAGCATAAGTCAAGCCCATCAATGGGTCCCTAAACTCATGTGAGGTTCTTAACTGTGGGTCGGTGAGAAATCATAAAGCCATTTTTCTCAAAACTCATTATATAAACAAGGTGTGTTTGGGACTCAAAACTCAGATCAGATTTGAGAGATTTTTTTTGCAGAAGCTAATACCAATGCGGGTTTATTCCCCTTGTTGTGGAGCCGTTCTGGGCTTCTGCTTGTACTTACTGTTTTGTGGAAGCTTCTGCTATGGTGATGACAAGACTATCGAGGTTGTTGGGATCGGAGAATGTGCAGATTGCAAGGACAACAATATTAAAACTAGTCACGCTTTCTCAGGTATCTTCCAATAATCGAAGATCAAACTTTTAATTTGTATATTTGATTTAACGATCGAAACGTTTACCATGTTTCAATTAATATATTTTGGAGTGTTTGGTAATCAAACTTCTAATTTTCCAAGTTTCAATTAATAAATTCTAGAGTGTTTCATAGTCAAACTTCTAATTTTTTGACATTATTGCAATGCATGCTTTCACAAGAAATTGACTTTTTAGCGTTTGAAAATCGGTCGTCAAACGCATAATTTTTTCCACTATAATATGAAATCAACTAATCAAGCGCCACCAAGCACGTGGTTTGGCAATATTTGTAGAGATGAAAATTACTATTTCGTCGCTAAGTACCATTTCGTAAGAATTGATGCATGTGGGTGGCTTCTGGATTTGCCGCCAATCTCTATCAAAACAATGGTACGATTGGGTTGCATTGAAGCCAACCTACTGAGTAAACGTCGACATGGAAGTTAGTTCTGGTTTAAATGATTCTCAATGGCTTTCTCTCACTTTTGTAGGGCTTCATGTAACCATTGATTGCAAGTCCAAAGATGGACATTTCAAGACCAGAGCCGCGGGAGAGCTTGACAAAGAAGGAAAGTTCAAGGTTTCTCTCCCTCAAGAAATCCTAAAAGATGGCCAGCTGAACGAGCAATGCTTTGCACAGCTTCACAGTGCATCATTGGCGCCTTGTCCGGCCACCGACGGCCTGGAGGCCTCAAAGATAGTTTTCAAGTCCAAAACTGATAAAAAACACACCTTTGAGCCCACCGGAAAACTGAAATTCTCACCGGCGGTGTGCACTTCTGCTTTCTTGTGGCCTTATTTCAAGTATCCTCCTCTGCCCATACTACCACCTTTGCCCAAAACTCACCCATGGCTTAAATACTTTGGCCACCATTTTCCTCTTCCTCCACTGCCACCAAAGATCTTCCCTCCAATATATAAAAAACCCCTTCCTCCACCATTTCCCATCAACAAGCCGCCACTTCCGCCACCGGTGCCGATATACAAGAAGCCACTTCCATATACCCACTTCCACCACCTGTCCCAATCTACAAGCCCAAACCACCAGTGTTCAAGCCTAAACCACCGGTATACAAGCCGCCACCAGTTCCCATATACAAAAAGCCACTTCCACCACCTGTCCCAATTTACAAACCCAAACCACCAGTGTTCAAGCCTAAGCCACTTCCACCACCAGTACCGATTTACAAGCCCAAACCACCAGTATTCAAGCCTAAGCCACTTCCACCACCTGTACCGATTTACAAGCCCAAACCACCAGTGTTCAAGCCTAAGCCACTTCCTCCTCCTGTCCCAATTTACAAGCCCAAACCACCAGTATTCAAGCCTAAGCCACTTCCACCACCTGTACCGATTTACAAGCCCAAACCACCAGTGTTCAAGCCTAAGCCACTTCCTCCTCCGGTCCCCATTTACAAGCCCAAACCACCAGTGTTCAAGCCTAAGCCACTTCCTCCACCTGTCCCGATTTACAAGCCCAAACCACCAGTGTTCAAGCCTAAGCCACTTCCACCACCTGTACCGATTTACAAGCCCAAACCACCGGTGTTCAAGCCTAAACCACCGGTGTACAAGCCACCACCAGTTCCCATATACAAGAAGCCACTTCCACCACCGGTTCCAATCTACAAACCAAAACCACCAGTATTCAAGCCGCCTCCAGTTCCTATATACAAGAAGCCGCTTCCACCCCCGATTCCAATCTACAAACCAAAACCGCCATTGTACAAGCCTCCCGTCTATAAAAAACCACTTCCGCCACCAGTCCCAATCTACAAGAAGCCATTACCACCACCTATACCCATTTACAAACCAATTCCACCCATCCATAAACCTCTTCCTCCAATTCAAGAGATCCCTCCGAAACCTTGTCCACCACTTCCTACTATCCCCAAAATTCCTCCCAAGTTCTTCCACCACCCAAAATTTGGACTCTCCCCACCCCTACCACCTTATCCATAGGCTGCCATGGAGGTCTCTCTTGGTGTAAGTATGTTCGTATGATGGTTGGTGTTATGATAAGGTCGTAAGTGGTTGGAGTGAAAATTTCAACAGCATAATAAAAGCATTTAAGAGGTACAAAAGAAATCAAGTGGAAAGAACATGAGAGGGCGAGAAGATCATTGTTACTTTGTTTTTATCTATGAATTGTTTGGGCGTGTGAATTTGCCTTAATTTGTTTCATGACATTTGCCTAGCTATAAGGAAATAAATTTCAAGGCTTTCAACTTTGACCAGTGATTACAAATTTCTCATAACCTCAAAAATAACGCCGCCCTTATGATTTACCTATAAAAGTAAAAGTAGACTTAAATTTAAAATTTGACAACTCTCTTCATCTAAAACATGAGAATAAAGAACGCATAAATTGACCACGACACTACTGATTTGATCACTATACAAAAACAAATATAAAAATTTCATGCAAATAAAATTAATTTCACTTTATTATGATATTTTAAAAACAATGAAAAAATGCATTAGAGAATCAGATTCCCTATTTATATGGCAGATTATACTGCTGATATTATAACGTCTTCTCTCAAGATAGCTTTTTAGCCCTTTAATCGCACCCTTTTAATCTCATCCGTCCAATTATTTTACGAATTTTATTTATCCAAATTACATTGTTGTGTGGGACCCCAACCACTGAAACTAAACTGCAATTTTTTGACGAATAATGCAAAGCATATACCACGTGATCCAATCTTTTCTTACCCTCGTACTAACCACGGTTAACAATTAACCAACCATAGTCACGTTTCTACATCGTAAGATTTAGACACGTGTCTTACTCCAACGGACACGATCAAAGTTTCTTAGATAATTTCCTCGTCACAAACCCCTATATAAACTCACCACGTCCGCTTAAGCCCTACGCACACTAGTACACACAGTAACTGAGTGAGAGAGAGAGAGATGTCGAACCCAAAGGTCTTCTTCGACATGACGGTCGGCGATGCACCGGCCGGCCGTATCGTGATGGAGCTCTACGCTGACGTCGTTCCTAAGACTGCAGAGAACTTCCGTGCCCTCTGCACCGGAGAGAAAGGTAAGGGAAAGTCCGGCAAGCCACTGCACTTCAAAGGATCTACCTTCCACCGTGTGATCCCTGGCTTCATGTGTCAGGGAGGTGACTTCACCGCCGGAAATGGCACCGGAGGAGAGTCGATCTACGGAGAGAAGTTCGCCGATGAGAACTTCGCGAAGAAGCACACCAGTCCTGGTGTGCTGTCCATGGCTAATGCTGGTCCTGGAACCAATGGATCGCAGTTCTTTATCTGTACCGCCAAGACAGAGTGGCTTGATGGGAAGCATGTGGTGTTTGGACAAGTTGTGGAGGGGATGGATGTGGTGAAGGCGATCGAGAAGGTTGGATCGGGATCTGGAAGGACTTCCAAGACTGTGGCCATCGCTGACTGTGGTCAATGTTAGATCTGTGATCTGATCTATCTACCGACTGTCTTATCCATTACCTAAGCGTTGCTTTTTCTACCATGCTTGGTCTTTTTTTTTTTGTTTTTTTGAAGTGTTTTGGGTGTAAAAGTGGTTGTGTTTCAGTCTTAGATTTGGTGGTTCTACAGTGGATATATGTGTTCTCTGAATTAACTACCACTAAATAAAATAGGTTCACTTGTGTTTCAATGGTCAGCATCTATTTCTATATAATTGGATTAATCTTTTTTTTTATATGTAATTAGATTAATTTTTTCTTTAACTTAATTAAAGGTAAGAGATTCACAGACTTTATTCAAAAGAATTATCCCTAATACGAGCTCTGTCTAGTTAACAAAGTTAATGAATTAATTTTAAAAAATAACTGAAAACGATAACAGATTATTGCCATATTCTAAATAAAGAGATTAGGAGATACCCTTTTGGCAATTTAATCCTTGATTTAGAAGAATAAAATTGGAGAATATCTGGGTGCTGTTTGGATAAAACTATTGTTGTTGATAAGTGGGGTCCAGAAGAGGAAGAGACATACATTGCATTATATGACCGGGGATGTTGGAATGGTGGCCCAGCATTAGAGGATGTGGCGCACCACCCCTGATTGTTTCACTGGGCATCCTTATCTTTTTCCTCCTCTAACCCCTACAAAGTCCACGTTTTAATTTCTTGAACCTTTTCCTGAAAAATAAAAAAAAATTACGTATAATATAAAATAGAATAAATTTTAACTAAAATAAACTTATTTAACAATTATTAATATCTCACTCAAAATTATTTATATTGTACTATACCTTTAAACACAAATTAACCTAATAAATAAATAACTGATGAGTGGTCCGGCTACAGAACCCAGCGCAATGGCCCATGGTCCAGGTTCATTGTGTTTTTCATATTCTCCTGTATTATGCAAAATGACCTCTACGTTTTTTTTCCTTTTGTTTTTTCCCATGAAAGAGGGAGGCTTGTAAATCACTAAGTACCATATCGAGATTAAATTCAACGGAAGTATTTCACATTACGCACTCCACTGTCTCTTAAAAGATATCAAAAGGTTTTTTTGTCTAACGGTATTCCTTACTTTATGAAAATTTAATTTATAACATCAAAAATTTAAATCTCTTTGCCGACAAAAAACGAGATTAGTTGGTAAAATGAACGTTAGTTGTTTAAATGAATTGTACCCAAGTTTTTATTGAGGGTTTAAATCTCTATTAAAATGCAAGTCTTAATTTAATTAGTGTATAAGTTGAAGGACTGATTCACGCACTTAGAGTTTGTCTTAAATTTTACTTGGACTCACAAGCTTAAACGACTACGTCACCTTTATCTCATTGAAGACGGGTTAAGAATCTTTCGCGTCGTACAATAAATAAAGACGGGTTGAGATCCTCTATCGATTTTGTTGATCAAAATGTCACTTTTGTTTTTAAAAATTAAAACAACCCCTTTTTGATCAACAGTACTTCTATTATTAAAAATTAATAGCAAAAGAGTCATACCCCTAAAAAAATATGCTTGCAGTTATGTGAAAAATTACAAAACAAATGTCGTCGGCCTTAAAAAGGACTGTAATGGGCTTCTCAAGAAGGTATGTTGAGGCCTATGTGCCTAATTCATGTTGAGGCATAGGCCTATGTTGCCATTTCTCAAGAGTTTGCTTGGTTCTGCGCCAACTCCGGATTATGACCAAAGGCCCGTAGGTGAAGGTCTGTTCGATCACTTAAAATACCAAAAGACATCAACCAATCTGTTGTTTTGTAAGAATATCAGAATAATTAAAAAAAAATAAAAAATCTTTTGCTCTACATTATCTAATTACCGACATCATCACCTCCCCTAAATTTAACCACTGCACATAAAGAAGAGATTTTAAGCATAGACCTAAATTGACTATTGATCACATGTCCAAATAAACTCGGTTAGTGGTGGGTGGGGGAGGGGGTAATGTTGTTGCGGTAATTGGTTGGGTTAGTCGATTAGAAGACGTATTGCATATTTCCTGTACATAATGAAAGAATTAGTATGTACCAAACGTAACCTCAGGAGGTTAATTGGCATCCCAAACCAAATCTCAGGGGAACTATCTGTAATTTTGAAAAATCTCAAGCGACAAAGTAACACCATCATCATCCACCGTCCGTCGCATCCGATTCCCAATGCCCTTTCCGAATCGACACAATCTATCCTTTCCACTTTTAATCTCCGCCCTCTGATCTAATCCACGCACACTCTCCTTATATAGCCGATTGCTTCGTTGTAAACGAACGCAAAACACAAACCTATTCATAGACCTCCGCAATCGAGAGAGAGAGAGAGAGAGAGAAGAGAAACAACCATGGCGGCAACAGTAAGTGCATGGGCCAAACCAGGCGCGTGGGCTCTCGATTCTGAAGAACACGAAGAAGAAATCCAACAACAAAAGCAAGACGAAACCGTCACCGGAAACAACCACGCCGACGGTGGTGACACGGCGGCGCTCTCCGACTTCCCATCTCTCGCCATCGGTGCGTCCACCAAAACGAAGAAAAAGAAGGCCCAAACCCTATCTTTGCAAGAGTTCTCCACTTATGGGTCCGTTAAGCCGGCTCAATCGAGGCAAGCCGCCTCCAAGGGCCCCACCACCGAAGATCTCATGATGCTTCCCACCGGTCCTCGTCAGCGAACCGCCGAGGAGCTCGACCGTTCCAGACTCGGCGGTGGATTTAGATCGTACGGTTCCAACGGTTACGGTTCGCATGACAGGTCTTCTTCTGATGAGTCGCGCAGACAGGGAGGGTTTAATAGGGACTCAAACCGAGAATTAGCGCCTTCCCGTGCCGATGAGATTGATGATTGGGGAAAGGGGAAGAAGTCACCTGTTGGTAATGGATTTGAAAGGAGAGAGAGAGGATGGTTTTTCTCTGATTCGCAGTCTAGGGCCGATGAATTGGATAGTTGGGTATCTGATAAGACTGTTGTTCCATCAGAGGGACGTAGATTTGGCGCTACCGGTGGTGGCACGGCTTCGGATAATTGGGGAAAGAAGAAAGACGAGGAGGGACGGAGATTTGGTAGTGGTAGTAGTGCGTTTGATAGTCTCAGAGAGAGAAGAGGGGGTAATGAGTCGGCATTGAATGCAGATTCGGATAATTGGGGTAAGAAGAGAGAAGAAGGAAGTGGGGGTACAAGGCCAAGGCTGAATTTGCAGCCACGGAGTTTGCCGGTGGGTGAGGGGCAACAAAATGGGACGGGAAGTGTAGTGAAACCTAAGGGTTCGAGCCCTTTTGGAGATGCGAAGCCTAGAGAGGAGGTTCTGAAGGAAAAGGGGAAAGACTGGAAGGAGATTGATGAAAAACTTGAGTCGATGAAGACAAAGGATGTGGGTTCGACAGATGGACAGTCGTTTGGGCGGAGGACTTTCGGGAGTGGTAATGACAGGATTAGCTTGCCGGAAGATAGGACCGAGAAGGGCTGGAGGAAGACGGATTCAGTTGATGTTCGTCCTCAAAGGTTGGTGAATATGTTTTTTTGACTCCTTTACTCAGTGTGGATAGTAGTTTTATTGGTTGTTTGGTTGTGAGGACTTAATATTTTAAACTATTCATTGTTGGATTCACATTTTGTGAATGGCTTAAGGACGAATTATTCCCTTATTGGCCAAATCGTTGCTTTTAGTTCTCAGTTGGTAATTTGTTTCTGACTCTACTCTGTGCTTTCTGCAACTACTGTATTTGTTTCTCAATGCTTTTAATGTGCATGTGATTTTATATATATATATAGTTGTAATGTCTGTGCAGTGAGGGAGCATAATCTTGCATGTAGGGGAAGGACTCGTAGGTTCTTCAGCTTAGAATAAAACTTATCATTACAATGCAAGGGAGTCAAGTTGGTAATGCAATTATTATTGAAGAAGGGATATGTACTTGTGGATGTATTTAATGTTTAAAATGATTTTGACCCGAAGGAATTTTTTCTAACTCTTATAAGAGGTGACAATGCTACTCATATTCCTCTTCCACCAAACAGAGGTCATATGGTTTATTGGTAAGCTGTTGGGAAATTATTCATTCCCTGTTGCATAATATGGTGTTGAGTCTTTCGCTCCATGAATTCACTATATTAAGGGGTAAATTGCACATTTGCCAGTACTTGAAGGTGTATCCTTGTTTTTTGTATGACATTGACACCTCTTAAGATTAAGAGTTGGAATCTCATGAGCTGTTCTTTTGCTAGTCAAATAAGAAGATTAATGAAATTGGTTGGCACCATTCAGTTATATTTTTCACATACTTATTATACGCTCCCTCCTTGTCTCCTCCAATATCTGACCCATCATTGCAAACTCAAGCCAACTATTTATCGCAATCCCAACACAACTAGCTCGGCATTCTCCCACCACCACTGTATTCTTTCACCCATGCCACCCCCACCCCCACCCCCACCCCACACCATCACAATTATATTTTGCCACCCACCCTTATCATTGTCGTATTCTGCCACTTATCACCACCATTGTAAAACTCCACCCTAACCCACAACACATAATTTTCACGTTGATTTCTCCTTCTTTATCGTCCAAGTAAAATCAAATCAGTTACTCTTAGTGATGGAAATGCCTTCTTCCCCCAACCAACATAGGAGGCTAGCTTGCTTTATTGGCGGCGGCACAGGCAAAGTGTCCAAGGGCCATGAAATTGGGGCGTGTCACAAAGAGCTTAGACAGGAGTAGTTCGTACAAATATTTTGATTTGTTAGCTAGTCAAATCTTATTATTTGATCGATGGGCAGAATGGATTTGAAGGATCATTGTCCCTTGCAATACCACTTCTGTGTCACCAGTCTTCTAGAAGACCCAATTCGAAGGATCATTATCATTTCGAACATTATCATAGTGTCAGTTGTCCTAGACCAATTGCCCCCCCCCCCCCCAGAATTGATCCGTGGACCACATCCTTTTGCATTGCAACATTGTTGTATGGTCAGAGGGGGAGATAAATATAGACAGAAGAGTACCTTTGAGGAGGTAGGACTTGATATTCAGCGTGGAGGGGTGTTTGTAAAGGAAAGGAAGGGAGGAAGAAGGGCCCGACCAGGGGAGACTATAAGAACAAAAAAAATTGATGAGCAAAGAAGGAAAAATGGAGAATTCTAAGGGACAAATATAAAGGAGACAATGAGGGTTATAATAATTATCAAATGAATTGTAGAGTCCTAGAATCATACTTTGGAGCAGAGTAATTGATGAGACAATGGTATTCAAAAGTCAGTTCAATACTTACCGGGAAAAAAAAAAAAGGTCAGTTTGACTTTATGTTTGGAAGATCAATAAGGGAAGTTTTATATTTACAAAAGTGATGGAAACATGGAGGGATATAATATGACAAGTTTAGAGGAAATTACCAAGATTTGTGTCCGGGAGGTTATATTGAGCTAAATTTTAACCCCTGAACCAGTGACATCCATTTGAAGTTACAAAGAAATATTTTGATTTGGGTTATATGGGTATAGCTGTGGTGCTAAAATGTGGGAACAACCACATAATATATTAATGAATTTTCATCACCAGAGGTTTACTTCAAGAATCAAGCTTATGCCTTTCTTTATCTTTCCTTTGTATTGATAAAAGATAAATCAAATGGATATATTTTACACTGGAGTTCCAAGGTGTACCTTATTTGTTATAGTATTAAGGGCAAACTTCACTTTATCCCCTTGTGGTACCCCAAATTCACTTTACCGCCCTAACATTTAAAAATCTCTACATAACCCTCACGCGGTTTGCGGCAAACATCATAGTGGTATACTGATTCTCAGGAGGGAAAATGTTTATAAACCTCGATAGCTAGTCTACTTATGCATGATAGTTGGACTGTTGAATATTTTTTCATGAAACTAATGTTTTCTTCTGGTGTAGTGCTGAGAAAATTGAAAATGGACTTGTTGAAGAAGCTGAAGATGCGGACCCACGCATGCGATGCTGATGATGTTAGATTAAAGGCACAAGGAGCAGGTGGATGGAAAACTGAAGGGTGTTGGATCTGAGATATTTTCTCTCTTTTCTTCTGTGTTGTTGTCCTGATTGGTGTTACTGAGAGGCTGAGCATAAAATGCAGTTTTGGTAGATTTAGTAGAAGAACAATAGCCTGAATGGCTCATTTCTAATGGGTGTCATAGTGTAGCATTATGTTTGTAATACATTATTACTTTTGTTGTTTGTTTTTCGGAAAATACTATTTTGAGTTAAAAATCTGACATAATTTGTTGACTTAATGACGTGGTTTCATTGGAATCATTGGATTAACACCAAGTTTCAATGTTTGATGAAGCTAACAGTCAATCTAAAGATCATAGTGAATTAAGTCAACAAATTAGGTCTCAAAGTATTGTTCTTATTTTTCTCTTCGATTTTGCAATATTGTGATGAACTTGAAGAATAGAGCGGATTCCAGAAGTTTTTTTTCCCATTAGCAGTTATTTGAGACGTTACTTATCCTTGTATTATAATTTTAAGTACCTTTTGTATACCGTCTTTTTGTTTTATTTCTTCCATTGTCTTAAAGATCAAATTTATACGATACTCTACTTGGTGTCTCAGTTACAGAGATATTTTTGAACAGCCAAATCACATCTTCTTGTTTAATACCGACGTAATTCAAGATTTTGTATTGCTTGTCAATGATGGCAGTTTTTACGGCAGGTTTTGTGTGTGTGTTTGTTTGGAATGTATTTAATATTGATAATCAGCCATAATCGGGGGATTGAAACTGGTTGTCTCCACACAAGTTGGCATTCATGGCATGGGGATGGAGTTCTTACTCGCAAGGTAAAAATCTGTGTATGGGAGTCGTTTCTGACTCCCCCCCACCACCCCCACATTGGTTACAGTCTTGCATTGTGTTTGTCACATTTTCGGATATGATTGGCAGATACGATTGTTGTGGATGAAATTTTGAGTTTGATAAAAGCTCATTGCCCATAAGGTTCTCGTCTATAGTGATAGTTTTAACTTCAATTTTGAGATTGATTCCCGGACTTTATGCCTTTGATGCACTTATTCATCGGAGATTTGATGGCTCTCTAAGAGCAACTCTAACGGGAGTGCTATTTGGGGTGGCAGACCCTTGACCGTTAAAATGTCACCCCAAAATTAAAAAATTTTACTGCAAAGGGGGTGACATCAGCAGTGGCAAAATAACAGCAATTGACTCGGAGTAACAAATTTGCAAACTCTGAAAAGAGAATGTGAGATTGCAAAAGAGTCGTTGGTGTCTACTGTTCTTCTCAACGACTATATTTAACCCAAAATTTCTACAAAAATACAAAGAAAGCGAAAGGGGAAGGAGACTTGCCTGAAAATCATTGGTATCTACTTGCCTAAAAATTGTTGGTGTCTACTTGCTTGAAAATCATTGCTTCAGTGTCATCCCTTTTCCTCTGATATCGAAAATCCTCTCAAGCGAAAAACTCTCTTGCCATCTCACTGGGTATATGCTTTAACTTCAAAGGGGAAGTGGAAGGCTGTGGGTGTTTTAATTTTGAGTGATTTTGTTTAGGGAAAGGGGAAGGGGAAGGGCTTGGTACAGGCGGGTTGGGTCTGAATAGTAGAGGTTCTGCTGCTATGTATTTTAGGACAAATGAGACCTTCTACAATAAAATTTTTTTGTATTGTCATATTACATCATTAATTTTTTTGTATTGTCATATTACATCATTAATTTTTTTTGTATTGTCATATTATCCCATTAATTTTTTTTATATTGTCATATTATACCATTAAATTTTTTTGTATTTTCATATTATACCATTAAATTTTTTTGTATTGTCATATTACACCATTAATTTTTTTGTATTGATTATTTTATCTTACCTTTAAATTGATTATATATATTTTTTTGTAGAGGGATTCACAATTTGACGGTTCTTTCACTGATTTACTTATGAATGATACCGATTTATATGATGAAGCTATATAGACCAATCTCGCAGTATTAGCGCCAGTATAAAGTGAAGCCGCTCCAAGAGTGAAAAAATCACAAAGGACAAAGAACTTCTCTGTAGAAGAAGATAAATTAATAGTGTTTACGTGGCTTAACACAAGTAAAGATGCAATTAATGGGAATGAACAACAAGGTGGTGTTTTCTAACATGGAATATTGAAATACGTAGAACTTCATCGAGGCAATCAAAAAGAGCGTTCACAAGCTTCCATTAAAAGCCGTTGTAGTGATATAAATGCAAAATGCAGCAAATTTGTTGATTTTTATAGTCAAATTGAAAGACTACGACAAAGTGGAGACACTGAGTAAGATAATATAATTATTGAATTTTTTTAGATAGACACTATTATGATTTGATATTTGAACTATTGACTGAATGATTTCATATATTTTTCAGGTTGATGAAGCAAAATAAATGTTTGCTAAGATCATTGGAAGACCATTTTAATACGAGCATTGTTGGAATATATTGAAAATAGAGCGAATATGAACTGCTAATCTCACCAATAATAAGAGAGCAAAACTTATTCAACTAATAGTCTTGCTGAATCAAATCATGTTGAATCTTGCTATTCAACTGCATAGGGGATGACACTGTACTCTCGTCCACTCCCAACCTCGATAGGTTATTGGGCAAAAAGGTTTCAAAGAAACAACTTAAAAACAAAGAGAAACAAACTAGTGTTGAAGCATCACTAGATCATCACTATTAGAAACAAAGAATAGAAGTCAAACGACAAAAAATTGAGCGGCACGACAAAATTTATGTTTAACAGGAGATAGTATTGGAGCAACATCGTAGACAGTTAGAAATTGAAAAAAGGCAGGTGTAACAGAATGAAATAAAAATCATCGAAACTAACACTACAAGAATAGACCCAATTTTTGCAACATATTGGAATAACTTGAAATTGAAAATTTTCTTTGACATGTCGTTCCCACAAATACTCAATAAGATTTGATTGCAGTTAAGAATGAGTGACATTGTCCCTGATCTGACAATGAATTTGCATGAAATCTTCCAATTTTGATGTATACGCATGTAACACTTCTACATGCGGATTTCCATCACTTCCATCAAAGTCATTGTTATCAAAATCTCCTTCATCCTCAATGACCACTTCATCCCACAAATGTGCTGGTCCACGTACGATTGCAAAATAGGTTTGAAATATCTCAAATGCCCGCTCTATATCTTTTCTTGTCGACTCTTGTGCTTTAGCAAAATATTTTTTCTTCAAACCTTGTAGACAGGGAATTATTTTTACAAATTTTGACCAGTTTGGATAAATACAATTAGTTAGATAATATTCCATTGTATACTCATAGCCATTAATTGTATAGTTTACTGGAGGAGCATGACCATTTTGCTAATAAAGTAAAATCAGGGAACCTATCTAGAACATTTATGTCATTCAGCTAGGCATGAAGGCCAAAGAATGCATGTCATATCCAAAGATCTTGAGAAGCCACAGCTTCCAAAATGATTGTTGGTTCGTGACAATGACCAGTATATATACCTTGCCACATGGTCAGACAATTTTTTCACTTACACTGCATACAATCAATACTCCCTAACATGCTGGGAAAGTCACGTTGTTCACCCGTTTGTAGTAATCGAGTAATATCATTATTGTTTGGTGACCTCAAGTAATGATCGCAAAACGTTGCAATAATAGCTTTCACAAATCTTTTCAAACTCTGTATGATAGTGTTTTCTCTAATTCTGATGTTTTCATCCACAGAATCTGCCGGTGTTCCGTAAGCAAGAATTCTATAAGCAGTTGTTATGTTCTGAAGGGATGACAAATCATGAACTCCAACAACATTTGTTGTTTGATGAAGTATAGATCGTGTTGTTCAATCTTATTTATAATTCGTAGAAAAAGAGGACAACTCATTTGAAACTTCTTCGAAAAAAACCTTCATATACACAAAAGATAGCAAAATAGTCACTGGTAGAGTCTTTTGTGACCTTCAACTCTACCACGATTAACTGTTTTGTTGCCTAGAACAAAAGCTTTCTTATTCGTTTTTGACTAGACCCTTCTGACTTTCTGGTTGTAGCATATAACATATCCAATTCATCATTATCTTTTTCCTCAATATTGGGGATCTGTCCTAAAATATTATAATAACGATTCATATAGATTGATGAATGAAAAAATAAAAGGATAAATAGTCAAAGAGAAAGGAGATAATGAATTTGTAAAGAGAATGTAATATAAATGGATGAAAACATGAGAAAAATAATCATATTTATAGACGAATTATATTTTTTTTAATTTTTATTTTAGCAGTTAAATTTTCAAATTTGAATTTCAACGGTTGAAATTTGAAATTTGAAAATTAAAAATTTAAATTTTACTATAAAAATATATCTGTTAAATTGTGATCGTTATAAAAACTATATCAGTTAAAATATAACCGTTAAGTTTAACTATATTTTTTAATAAAACTTATTAAAATATGAAAATGACACTCCATTTTGACACATATCATTGGAACATATTATAATTTAAGGGTGTCAAAATATTGTTTAAGGTTACAAAATGACATTTTGACACCCAAAAAATGACAACTCTCCTTGGAGTGGCATCAAGGGTGGCAACCATATATGTCATCTCAAATTCTAAATTTTTCACTCAAGGGGGGGTGGTATCAAGGATTGAAAAATAACATAAAGGCTCTTAGGATGACATTTTTGGCAACTTTTGAGAGAGAAAGGGATAAGTTTCAAATGGGTTGATGAATATAAATCCGTTAGATGCATATAGATCCAACGATTCATATAAATTGATGAATAAAAATATAAAAATGACACTCAATTTTAGCACTTGTCATTGGAACAGATTTATAATTCAAGGATACCAAAATACTGTTTAAAGTTATAAATAAATAATTTAGCACTTCAAAATGACAACTCCCTTTGGACTTGCTTTCCAACCAAAACTAAATATGGTGAGAATTTAATTGAAAATGAAATGGTCGGAATTGAGAGGTCTGATTTGGCTGGTAGCAGCTCTGTTCAACCCACACATTAATGACAGTCATACGAATTATAATAGCTGGATTCGTATTGCTCTATTTATTTAAAGGATTCTAAACTTGTTAATTTTATATCGAAAAATGTTATTGAAATTTAATTTATTGATCTAATTTATTATAATTTTTGGATTGACTGTGGAGTCCATTTAACATTGAAACTCAGTGTTAATCTAATGGTTCTATTGAAACCACATCAGTATGTCACCAAAATAAATCAAAATTTTAAGTTTAAATAATATTACTCTTTTATATCAATTTCAAGAAAATGATAAGCTAATTCGTACATTTTTCCGAGTAGTTTGAAAAAAAAAAACAATTATTTTTTTGAGGTCAAATATTCAAACCCTTTTTCCTTTTCTCTCTCCCCCAAAATTTGAAAAAAAAAATAAAGAGCCCTTCGTACCTTTTTTCGAGTAGTGTGACAAAGGAAAAGCAATTAAAAGGCGGGGCTCTTTTTTCATTCCACAAGTCTTCCTCATTGCTCTTCTACCATCAATGCTCTGCACCACCACCACCTTTGACGGCTAACTAATACCCACCACCTCCACGACGGTCAGGTCAAAACTTGAACCTTCTAGAAAGTGTACCCTTTTTTCATTTTTTTTTTGGACTCATCGAGAAAAATCAAAGGTGAGACACCTTCCACGTCCAACCGAATGTAGGATACTACTAATATTTGACTTGATGGTCATAAAAAAACCGATTCATAAAAGTTATTGGGATAAGATCGTGTTGAGTTGAGTTAATTTAAAGTTGACAAAACTTTCACATCCATGATATGTGTTTGGAACCTCTTTAACACATTCTGTGTGCATTAAAATTACTTTGAATCGTGGCTATTGAGCATGATCCTTGTTCACATTAAAGCAATGTGGACATCTTCATCTTTTCTTCTCTGTCGTATGGATATGGTAGGCAAGATCTTATATTCTTTAGAAGAGGAATTTTTTTTTTTTTGAAAAGGCTTTAGAAGAGGAATACTATGGTATTGAAGAGTCACTTTTCGGTATTGAATTGAAAAATACTAAAAAATAAGGGTGATATTATTGTCCAATCTAAAAATATTACTACAAAATTGGGTCTTTCGAGACAAATTATGAAGTTTCTAATTTTTTCTTTTGGGTTGTAGCTTGACCTCTTGTGAGTTATAATTGACACTTATTTAATTATAGATTTTAGTATGACACTAAACTCCCTACCGGAATCGTTCTCGTACAAGAACCATTGAAAGTGAACAAGATTGGTTGGAAAACATGCCTCCACATAGAAGTAATATTAGTTTTTCGGCAATGTGAACCCAACACTTTATGAATCAGTAAAGTCCTGGATGCTGGTTGATAGCATTAACTTCAATCTTTTTTTTTTCTTTGTCTGGTACAGAAGCTGGATCCCAATAATAACACCAGACGAATGATATGGTGTACCTTTATTAATATTTCATCACTCAGTTTCAAAAACAATATTGCATCTCATTAAATGGTGACAGTTGAGAGATTCTATATAGACCACTCCTTATTGACCTCTCTACTTAATGCTCATTCACTTTTACCAGTAATCTATTCTTCAAAGTTGCTTTCATTCTCTCTCTCTCACAGCTTCTTAGGTTCCATGGATTGGTCACACAAGCTTCTCTTTACAGCTTTTCTTCTTATTGCTGCAGCCATTAATGGAGCTCAAGGTGATGCCATGGTCACTGGAACTGTCTTTTGTGACCAATGCAAAGATGGCCAAGTTTCTCTTTTTGATTACCCTTTACAAGGTAAGATCACATTGGTTTAGAGGGCACATTGGTTTTGACCCCTTTTGGTGTGTTTCTTTTTCTTTTTTCGTTTAGTCTTGATGTTTACTAGTTTGATGGTGATTTGCCCCAAATCTATCTCCTTTATATGGTCCCTCAAGTTGCCAAAGAAGGCAGCTTGAATAGAATTAAAGGGCATGTATGCTGTTGGAAAGGAATACTATTAGCAATTAAACACCAACAATCAATTCTCAATTGTTTAGTAAATCTAACACCAATCTTTATGCAGGTATAAAAGTTACAATGGCCTGCCCAGGCAGTGATGGGCAACTCACAGTCTTTAGAGAGGAGACAACAAATTGGTTAGGCAGCTATGCTATAAAGTTTGATGGTACCCCAGACCTGAGTGGTTGTTATTCTCAGGTCACCGGCGGTGGGCAGAGGTCTACAGGCTGTGAGGCAGCGGCCGGTCCCTCCCAGTCTCTGAGACTTATGTTTAGAATGTTTGATATGGAAATGTACACTGTGGATCCTTTGTTGTCTCAACCTGCACAACCTATGTCCTTCTGCCCAAGATCAGCTTCCCCTGTGCCTGTGCCTGTGCCTGTGCCAGTGACCCCTGTAACGCCTCCACCAGCGCCTCGACTACCACCGTTGCCTCGGTTGCCACCATTGCCTCGGTTGCCTCCAATGCCACCAGTGCCATTCTTGGAAGCTTCAGCCTGTCCCCACAAGTAAGTTGAACAACAGTATCTTAACAAGACGCTTTCTAGCTAGCTTGAGCTAAGAAGAAGCTTATTGTGAATGTTGGAAATATTAGATACTTCCTATCGTATCTTTACTTAGATATTGATGCATTTCTGGTAATCATATCATATCTCTCTAATAGGAAACAATTTCCCTCGGTGAACGATCTGGTACACGATACAAGTAAGGAATAAAAAACAGGAATCTAAATGAACCGCACACACAAAGATGACACTGATTTTCTAGGAAAAAATTAGCATCAGGAAAAAACCCATGGCACCAAGTCCACCATGAAACAACCAAAAATTAAAAGACCGAAGTATTTTAAATTTTAGTGAACGTGCACCGTTAAATTTTGTTAATTTGATTTTTAAAGTATTCAATTCGTATCATTTTAGTCCTTACATAGACACCGTTAAATTTTTAAAAGAATGATCACGTGATACCGTCTAAAACAATGAGACCTAGTCACTTTCGTAAAAAAAACTTGATTGATTGTCTAGTTAGGGACCAAGTGACACGGATATTAATCCTAAAATTAATCTGTATCACTCACTGTTGCATACACATATGTAGCTAAGTTATGATTATTTAGAAGGCTGTTGATTAATGTCCCCTAACCTAATGAGTCTATCATTTGCAACAGCATGTGGACAATGCCTGAATATAATTGCTACTGGAAGGTGGTGAACCCAGACATGAAAGTAGTCGTAGTTTTCGGACTACTAGCAGCAAGGAGGTACGGGACAGACTTGACATTGGGGGTAGCCATGAGAGGGAGAGGGGACCCTTACAGGACCCTCCTAAGAGAAGGGACAACTGCACTTCTTAACTCCTACAATAGTGTCCAGTTCCCATACCATCCTCTTGGTGTGGTCGAACATTTGAATTTAGCCTTAATGGGTTCTGAGCGGCTTGTCCTCCTAACCGCTCTGAGGTTCATCAGGGCTAATTCCGGTTATGGCAAAATTGCCTGCAGATTCACCACTTGCAAGTGATCATCCATCATTTCCAGCTATTTGTAGATCTACATATATGTGGGTCGTATTTGTTTCAGTTCTGGAGTTGTATTGTGTGTGATTTTGGAATTACACTGTCTGAGTTTAATAATTCTATGCATTATACAATCATTTAATATGATTTTTAACGATTTCTCATATTAAGTGAAAACTCATGCTTACAATGGCTGTCTTCTTAGGGATGTAATTCAAGCAGGTTAGATGGGTTGAGAGTTTAATAAGAACTAGGCCAAGTTATTGAAACACATAATCCAAGTTCAATTTGAACTCAACCTTCACATAAGCTCTTCAATTTGAGGAATGTATGTGCTTAGATTTTTAAATTTTGATTATGCAATTTGAACTAAAATTTTGGTTTCAATTCATCGATTGATATTTATATAAAATTCTAAGATCACACAACTCGTGATTTAATTTACTTTAAACTGTTTGAAATTCTAAATTTAGGATGAGTTTGTGCTGGATTTTGAAATCTCGAGTCCCAATCTGAATACTGTATAAGGTAATGAAACATCGACTACAATAATTTGACCAACTCACGTACATGGGCAATTGGAAATTGAATTTGATTATCAGTGTCTATAAATTGGGGAATTGCGAGAATTTAATGTTTTCTATAGAAAAGAAAATAAATAAAAAGAAAACTTTGATTCTAAGGAAAAACATTGATTCTTGGATTAACAGCTTAATTTCAAGCTAGATTAGATGGTAAATTGTGGCTGGAAACCAAATGTTTGAGGATATTTGGTATTTTGCATGTAGAAACTGCCCTGATTTGAGGTCCCTACTTGGAAAAAGCATGTACAATTTACGTTTTATACATGTGAATGGCTTGGACGATCAAACATTATGTACTGAGGGAATCATTTTGTGATGGCAATATTGATACAAGAACTATGTGCTGATGCAATGCCTGAGAGAAAAAGAGTTGGACACTGTTTTCTGATAGAACACAAGTACTTCATCTTTCAGACTACCTTTAATGAAAAAGACCACAAAATGGACTCACTCTTGACTTGACAACACACTCAGCGCCTCAGCTCACATTTGAGATTGTAGTAAAAACCAAAACTACTGACAAAGTTTTGGCAACAATATGAACTTGATAACCAAACTGACCCGAGCCTCAGCATACCAAAATTCGAAAGGCACGACTCATCAAGAATAGTCTGTTGCGTCAAATTTTTAACCCCCATGTGTAGCAAATGGCAGTTTTGACACAATTTACAATTTAATGGTTTTATGTCAAATGAAGTAATCCAAATACAAAGTATGGAAGCATATATATAACTTTTCTACTTGGACCTACCCCCAACCTAGAGTGGCTAGGTGGGGAAGTAAAATTAATTCTTGTTCGTATATAAGTTTCTCCGGGACAAAATGAGCCACTTCAATTAGGTTCATTAGTCTAATCTAGAATACGATTAATCCGACATAAACTATATGAGCCCCTAGTAATTTACTAGATAAATTGATAAGTTGAGCATCCCCTGAAACAGAGGACCGATACTTCAACTAGAGAAGCGACTAGTTGGTTTGCCAAACTCCTACTCAGCATCACACATTCTCCAAGCCCGAAGGGATCCAGTGCCCAACTACCGACTCCTCTAGGAATGGCCGTTAGTGGACACCCACCACTTTTCACCGGTTAGAGAGACCTCTTTAATACATTAGTTGCCTATAAATTTATGTCAGTCAATTGCCATGATCTCTCAGAAAGTGCAAGGACAGAAGAAAAGAAGAGGCACCATGGAAGCATGGCCATTTTGGTTTAGGCTTTTTATTGTATCTGTAGCCACCATACCAGTTGTCTGTGACTACCACACAACAAGATTACTTCATCATCACATGATGAGAGAGAAAGAGACTGTACTCACTTCTTCTTTCACGACACTTTCACTGGGAATAACCCTAACTCAGTCATGGTTGCACATGCAAACTTAACGATGAATCATCACTTCCAGTCACTCCTACCATTCGGCAGTATCTACGTGGTGGTTGCCCTCTTGACGGAAGGTCCAGACCGGACAGCAAACGTCGTCGGGCATGCACAAGGCTTCTACGTCTCGGCCGGTAAAGAACTGTTGATGGTGCTGAACTGCATTGATTATGGTTTTACGGACGGTGAGTTCAGTGGCAGCTCCACTAGTATGTTCTCAAGGAACCCGGAGACGTAGACTGAACAATCATCTTTTGTTTTCTTCTCCTAATGTTTGATGTTTCTCTCTCTCCACAGTGTTAGTTTTTGTTGGTTGAACTCCCTTGTCATATGATTAGTCTTTTCGGGTTTATTTTTTTCCACTGTGTTTGTGTGTGTATTTTTAGTTTAATTTGTTCAAATGATTCTCGACTTATATGTTGCTTTTCTTTGGGAATGTTTTTCCTCACCTAAGGTTAGTATAATAGTTTCGTTTTTTGTGATTTCTTATTGAAATATAAATATTTAAATTATATCATTTTCAAACAATTTAAACTTTTTGTTCTGTTTGGTACGATGAAAAAAATAGAATGATGAAAAGTTTGAGAGATAAATAAAAATTAATTTAAGAAGTTCTTCCGCATGTTATGGGGCCCACAGAAAAACATTTGTTTTTTGTGTAAAATTCTCTTACCTTTCATATTATATTACAATTTTATCCTTCACTCCTATCCAATCCAAAGTCAATATTGAATTTGCAATTATATTTATTTTGTCCATCTTTATATTTCATTCCAATTTTTAGCTGTGTCACCGAGTCTAAAAACCGAAAATAATTTGTTTTTAAATTTTGCAATAGCAAAAATTTGTGATCACATTAATTTTGCTCATAAAATTATCCCATATTGTTTCAAAAAAAAAAATGATATACACAAATCGATATTCATCTAAACATATTTTATTACCACACGTAACCTTATACAACAGGAAAAGCAAAATTAAGGCAGTATACTACGTAATTACACGTAACCGATATGTTTATATTCTTTGTTGCCTTCAACTATACATGCAAAATGAAAGCAATACAATTAGGCAAGAAGTGTGGAGCTACATGCTTGTTGCTGTTAAAAAAAAAAATGGCAAGACATGAACATGATTTGTGCAAATAAAATAGTCCACACCATTAACTATACTTTTTATATGTCAAATTTCCTATAAATGCACTATTGCAGGATGTTCAAACACTAAACTCTGGACATAAACATTAAATCCAAACCCATTAATCTTCAAGTCAGAAAGCACCAAAATTCATCAAAATTTGAATAACTGAAACATAATAAAAACCCTATCAGAGATCTCCAAAAGTCCATCTGACGGCTTACGATAGAAAATTTTTCGAAAGAGTGCCAAATTCGCCAAGATCCAACACAATCACCAAGAAGAAATCCCAGAAATGTTCCAATCTCAAATACCCAGATCGCATATTGTAAATACAAGGACAAACTATATATACATTTTTACGTATAGAACGCATCATTATTGAGATATTAAAGAGAGTGTAAATTCAGGAACCAAGGGTATGGATTTTGCTGTGGCTCTAAGGAACACTTTCTCTTGAAAATGTCTTTAGGTTCACACTTATATGAGAGACTTGGCTTTCAATGAGAGAAAACAGAGAAAGCTTCTGTTAACACACACATACACGGAGAGAGACAGAGATGTTCGCTATGGGAGGGGACCAGCCTGAAGAAATGGAGAGAAAATGGGGTAAAAAATCCTAAACTTTTGTACTATTGGAGGGCTTTTATGTAAATTTACCTACAATTCTACTACAGGGCTTACTAATCCCAAAGTTCAGGTGGGACAAGCGGATATGGGTTAGGCGGGATAAATGACTGATTTTCTACGAGCCGAGTAAATCAAGCCCAACGAGTAACCCAGGAACAAATGTGGATCCAAACTTAGGATTTGTGGGCTCCAAATTTTTTTAACTCAATCCAAGTCCATTATCCCAATTTATCCACCCAAACAAACACCCCTTTAGGGTTTATCTTTTGGTGATCCTTTCGGTTAATAGGAATTTATTTATTTATCAAAATAAAAATTATGACCTCAATCGTATGCTTTGCTCCTTCAACTATCATACTTCTCACATTTTTCCTTGACAATTTGAATTAGTTTCACATTGCCTCCAAAACTAAATAACCGACTTGCTTTGGGTACAAAATGCCCAAGTGTGTAGTATAATAAGAGTTTTTAATGTCCACAATTGGATATTATAAAATTAATAAACAAAGTTAAAGGTTCGATTTAAAAAAAAATGATAATTAAGGAGCAGTCCAATACAAATAATTGTAGTTGAAGCTACAATATGAGAAATATGATATTTGAGAGATATTGTGAGATGGAACACATAATTAAGGGGTTAAAGTCTAATTTATTCTTCATGTCATTAACATTATTTCAAAGTGTCATAAGATAATGGTGTTAATCCAGTCGAGCCATCCGATCTTTAGAATGCTCAGGCTTGACTCGATTTGTTGGAGGGTTGTTTAGGCTTAGCTCAAGTTTGATCGATCCTAAATTCACATTGTATAAACTACAAATCTCAAAATCACAAACATAAATTATATTAGGTTTCGAAATCAAAATCTCCTAATCCACAATGTCAAGTTCAGATTCTTAGGTTTTAGATTAGATTTATACAAAAATCAAGACTCAATAGAAGCCTAACATTGAAAAAATCAAATTCAGAACACATGTCAATACAAATAAATTCACCACACAACCTTTTGATTAAGTGTTCCATGGTCTCATGTATCATGGCAGCTCCATTTTCTCATACTAGTTGGGTAAAACTTGGAGACACACAAAGCTGCAACATGGTTAATAAGAGTATACGGGTGCAAAGGATAGTGGAAGAACCAATGGGAGAAAGGAGAGGCGAGAGGCGTTTGAGAGATAGAAGGAGAGAGTCGGACTGGTCAGACTGACTACCTACCGGAAGAAGGTAAGTGACGAAGGTTAGGTGGATGGGTGGGTTTTGGGGCTCAAGGAATTTAGTTTATCGGGAAGAAAAAAGGAGAGGGATGAGAAAATATTCAATGCAAATTAATAATAAAATATTAAATGGACAAATAAATTTTACTTGAAGTAATGAAGGGTTTACTTATATTGAAGATTAATTTTTTTTTTAGGTTTAATTATTTATTTATTTTAATATTATTGATTGATAATATTACATTAATATTATTATGGGATATTATTATCGTAATTAATATTTCTTAAAAAAAAAAAGAAAGGTATGTAC